AGACAAACTCAAGAGCCATTGAGGTGTAGGGAATTTTTTTATTTGACTTTTTTGGGGAGGGGATAAACTGTGTTTTGAGCCTGAACTATAACTAAGTCTAAGAGAGAGGAAACACTTGAGAAATAGAAACCGAGAAGCCCCTGTGGATAAAAAATGGATATGGATATTAATGCAACGACTCTCTATAGAACAATTTTACCTAAAGTAGACACTCATGCAAAACTATGGTTTTGAACTCTAATGGTCTATTAAAGTCCAATGCTTTGGCCAGGTCCTGATCTTTGCTTAGATTGCAGTACATTTAAAGGCAACTTAACTACATTCTTTGTTCTATACAGCTTTGATAAATGATGATCAAAGCTGTAACAAGCCAAAACACCACATTATTTTACTTTTTTTTTTTTTAATAAATTGTGACTTTTTTGTTTTGTTCTTTTTTTTTTTGGAGAGACTCAAGTAAGATTGGAAAACAAATGAATTTCAGCCACAAAGTTTCATCTGTAAGTAACACCAAGTTGCTTTGCTTGCAGTCCAGTGACATTTTGTTTTTGAAGAGGTGTCAGCGTTTAAAGACTTTATGATTTTATTTATTTGATTGTATGTACATTAGGCTAGGAGCATGATTACATTTATGTCTGGCCTAAAGAGATTACAACTTGAAGAGATAAATAAGAGTTAGAACAAACAAACATGCACAGTTTGATAATAGTTGTTTTTGTTGTTGTTGTTGTTGTTTGTTTGTTTGCTTTTTTCTGAGTAATGCAGATGTGCATAAGTTTATAATCTACATTTGCCACCTGACTAACAATTGCTGAGCACCGATTGAGATCTGCTGGCTGAAATCTGATCTCCCAGAGGCCCAGACGACCAGAAGAAGAGTCCTCTGATGTTTCCCCGTGGTTTAGCTCGAGACACTCACTTTAAAAGCACAGAGAGAAAAGGAAGCGCATCCACTCATCCTGACAAATAGGCTCCTACAGGTGAGAGTGTCTGTCAGCTCAGGCGCAAGGCAGCCGCGCTGACGTGCTAATCGATACAAAACAAGCCATGGCCTGAGATCGCGCAGCATGAAGTTGGAAAAAATGCACAAGTTTCTTCTGGATTTTTGTGGTGAAGCTACACGAAGGACAGAGACGGCATCAAACAAGTGCCTGTTTCCAGATCTAATCTCTGAGCATTCAGCCTGCGTTTGTGCGTCAGCAGCTTTTGATTCAGCCCTGTTAGCCTCGGCTCTTCGTCCTATAACTCCCCGGTATGAGGGGTGAGGGAGTGGGGCGGTGGGTCAAAGGTCACTCCTGCTTGTGGCCATGTTCAAATCCCTCCATAGTGTGCAGTATTTTCAACAGAGCTTTGGAAAGGTGGGGGGAGTCCCCAAATACCAGCTGCATTCTCGGAAAGTGGGGACATTTTAATCTAGATGTACAAAGCAAAATGTGTGGGTTACTGCAAGAAAAAGAGGACGTTTCAAATGCATTGAGCACAATAAAAAAAATAAAACACCTGTGTTGTAATACTGAACAAACAGAAAATGTGACAATAAGGGGTAAGTAAATGAGTTTGCGACTTTAAAGCAACAAGGAAGATTTATTTTATTTATTGTTCTCTCCTTCTTAAATACTCAAAACTTTTACCTTGCAGCTGCTATGTTATATTTCCTGTATAATTGTTTTTTCTAGAAAAATTGTTACTTTTTAAGTATGATTCTTAGATCACTGTAATTTAACAAATTATGACAGAGCTACTGTGTTTAAAAGATACCGTGAAAATCAATTTATTTGCATGGTGTGTTTGGGTTTTCCTTGCTTTTGCTTAAACGCTCATTATTTCACATTTAAGTAAGTTGAAGTAAAACAGATACACTTTACCTTTTAGGCTGCTCAATTTAAATCTGTCCCAGCAAGCTATTAAAACTATTTGCAGAACATACATAGTTTGAATACACTTGCTGATTTTTCCTGATCACTTCAAGTCGTGTTGGTGACCGACTGAAAAGTATTGGGAGAGTCCTCACACCCCGCTCAGAGTTGGGTTATTCATTTGGCTCGCTCTTGTCCATAGGAAAGCCCTTACAAATGGAGTTGAGCTTCCATGACTGGGGAAAAGCCCTCTGGCGCTGGTTTTTCCCCAACTTCACCCAACCTCAGTCCATGTGGCCGAAGAAATCCTGGAGACTGCGACTGTTTATTTGTATGTTGTTGCTTTGTTTTATTATTATTATTATTATTATTATTATTATTATTATTATTATTATTATTATTATTATTATTATTATTATTATTTTCACCCAAATGAGTGCATCTAAGCTGGCAAGCTTACATGCAAAGTCTTATATCAGAGCAAAGTATTTGCATTTTGATAATGGGAAAACTATTTATTTATTTAGTTAGTTAGTTAGTTAGTTAGTTAGTTAGTTAGTTAGTTAGTTAGTTAGTTAGTTAGTTAGTTAGTTAGTTAGTTAGTTAGTTAGTTAGTTAGTTAGTTAAAGTATACTCTTCTGTGATTGGAGAATAATTTAAAATATAACATTCTAATCAATCGTTCAAATAGTAATAAAACTAAAAAAATAAAACCTTACTGTTTTCAACTTATTCTCTCAAAAAATGAAATGAAATTAAGTTAAATTAAAAGCAGCCAACACCCTCGCTTAAAATTACACAACTCTTACAGCGATTTGCAAGTGTGTTTGTTTGTTTGTTTGTTTGCTTCTTCTTCTCTTTTTAAGAAATAGAGAGCTGAATCCCATCTGCTGTTGTGCACACATCAGGGAGGACAACCCTTTGACCCGACCCCGGGTCTGTTCAGGGGGACGCCGGGTAAAAATGGCAGAATCACCTCTCTCTCTCTCTCTCTCTCTCTCTCTCTCTCTCTCTCTCTCTCTCTCTCTCTCTCTCTCTCTCTCTCTCTCTCCCTCTCTCCCTCTCTCTCTCTCTCTCTCTTTCTCTCTTTTCTCTCTCTCTCTCTCTCTCTCTTTCTCGCTCTCGCATCACTAAACTTCAGGTAATTGACTACAACCCACTCTCATTTTCTATAAATATACGTCGCGTGGACATGTGCGCACCCTGAAGTTCCTAGAATGCTACGTGGGAACCGTACTTTAGAGTATGAGTTTCATTGAACGGACCGAACTTCATTCAATTAATTAAAAACCCTCAAATACAAGCGCATCTCTTTCAACTGAGCAATATGAAGAGGAGACCGAAGCGTTCAGCAAACGTACAAACCAGGCCGGTTTTGTTTTTGCGCGTCGTCTTTGGCAAACTTCAGACTGGACGTATCTGAACAGGTCCTCCTCCGCTTGCTGAATTAAAGGCGAAGCAAAGCGCCTTCAAAGTCAGACTTCATCCACGCAAGTCACAGCTCAGCCGCAGAGACCGCGATTACAGAAAGCCGCACAACGTGCGTCACTGTGTGGTAAATGCGCTGTGTCTGCGTTGTTCGCCAAAGTTTGCATTTTGCGCTGTGCAGTTTTAAGCTGCAGAGAAGAGCTGTTTCTTCATTTATTTCATTTTTATTTTATTTTTTATTTTTTGCACAACCACATAGGAAATGTGGTTGTAGGAAATGTGGTATAGTATATATATATATATATATATATATATATATATATATATATATATATATATATATATATATATATATTATATATATATATATATATATATATATATTTTGTGTGTGTGTGTGTGTGTGTGTGTGTGTGTGTGTGTGTGTGTGTGTGTGTGTGTGTGTGTGTGTGTGTGTGACAGTCGAGAGATCCCACATAAAAACGTCCTGACAGCTTTTATCGGCTCTCATGTATTTAATTGTCTCGCAGATCAATGCAAAGTGCTGACCCCCAACACGGGACTTGTCTGTCAGCATTAAACCTTACTTCGCCACCCAAAAAAATATATATATGATATTAATACAACTAGCATTTACACCCATTTAGGAACACACTGTTTTCCCTCTTTTTTAATTCATTTGTTTTTATCTTATTTTATTTGTGAAGCCCAGGAGTGTGTTGACGCTTGATTTGTTCCTCTGCTCTATATTCTTCCTATTGTTATTGTATAGGAGTTACAGTCTGCTGCTCCCCAATCCGCGCAGGAATTTAACCCTGAAACGCCAGAAGCAGCAGCAGCAGCAGCAGCAGCAGCATAATGGCTTGTCTTCGCTCCCAGCGTGGCCCCTGCACACTCCCCAGCAGCAAGCAGCCGCCTATCCGGGACCAGAAAGCCCTGCACTAACCCCGGCCATCCTCGCCGGGCTCGGAGTTTTCCACGCTCTCATTATTTTGAGACACACTGCAGCACTTTTAGAGATTTTTTTTTTCTTGCAGCTCTGGTCGTTGCTTCGAATGGCACGGAAACAGTAGTGCGTGTGTGTGTGAGGGAGGAGAGTGTAGGTGTGTGTGTGTGTGTGTTACCCCTTCATTCGGCACTGTTATGTTGCTGCGTAATCGTGTGGGTTATTTTAGGCACGTTAATCGTCTCTGCTTAAAGGAAGCACGCCATATACGTGTTCATGCTTCTGGGTGCATGTGTGCGCGTGTGCGTGCGTGTGTGTGTGTGTGTGCAGGAAATTGTTTAGTTCAGTTTTTACTGGGGTTTCCCTCTGTTTTCTGTAAATGGAGCATACTTGCATGCACCTATTTGCAGAGTGCTTGGTCACGTTGAAGCCTGTATTCTTTGTCATATCTTAGTCCTCACACACCAAGGCAGGGAATCCTCTCAACTCCAAGGAGACAGCTTTCAGTAGCTATTTCTAAAACATTTGACCAGAATTGTATTTTTAAGTGCTTTTATTCTGACCTCCCCCCGGGACATAAGTCTTATTTAATTGAGGGCTCCCTAAAAATTGTCCATATTAGCGTCATTTGGAAGGTCGTGCGCATTTTATGACAAAAAGCTCGCAGCTGTAATCGCCCGTAAAATGCCAGCGTCAAGAAAAGTGGAGCGTGTTCATCCTGAAGGGACTACCACATGCAAACGCGGGAAGCTCAGAAGAAAGAGGCACGCTGGTGATCACACTCAGTCCCGTTTAATGAAGGTTCCATAATTAACAGGGAAAAAACCAACAAACAAAAAAGAAGAATAGAAAGGGAAAGTGCTTCAGAAAACCACAGTTCAAGTTTCCATTGCGAGTGCAGTTGTTCTGTATTCACAACAAAGAATGAATGTACAAGAACCCCCCCATCCCCCTCCCATAAAAAATTCACAAAAATAAATATTCAGTTTCATATAATAATATATAAACAGCCAGTGACTTAAAAAAACATCCGCGTCAACAAAAAAAAAAAAAAAAACACCTGACCTCAAGTATTGTAACATGTCAAACCAGCTGGATGGGTGAGGAGGGCATGGATGAAGCTCACACTCACGCGCGCGCACACACACACACACAAACACACACGCGCACACACACGCTAACTCCCCCTCCCCAGAAAACCACCACTTATGCGCGGTTTGTGCGTGGAAATGAGGCCGCCGCTTTGCGTTGCGAATGGTATCCCGCTCCTTCCTGCGCCGTGCAGCCTATATGTGCTCGGAACGCATGCAGCGACGCCTCCCTCCGTCTTACTGCGACAGTCATGCCCGTGTAGAATGACATGGAGCGGTGCAGCATGGGACAAGCCTGTGACACACAGAGTCAAAGACAGACTGAGAACATCTAAAAGTTCAAGTTTTAGTTGGAGTAGCTCCAGCCTCGGACACAAGGCCTGTGGTGAGTTGTGTGTGTGTGTGTGTGTGTGTGTGTGTGTGTGTGTGTGTGTGTGTGTGTGTGTGTGTGTGTGTGTGTGTGTGTGTGTGTGTGTGTGTGTCACTGACATCTACAATATGTATACACAAGTTATTTTAAACGCACTTTTTTTTTACACTTCTCTTCCTTTCTCCTTTCCTTTTCATTTTCTTTTTAAACAATCATTCTACAAGTGAGTGCCCCCCTCACACCTCACATCCTCCCTTTCTCTTCTTTCTGCTGGTTGCTCGTGAGGAGGGCTGACATCATTCACTGGCTTTGGGGGTTTGTTGTGATCTGCCTCACCATATAAGCCGCCGGGGCCTCTCTTTTGTGGCGGGACAGAAAAGCATGCCAATTAGCAGAGCGCGTCCTGCAACTGCCACGAAGGCCGTGGACACATTCACTTGCGAAAAAAAAAAAAAAAAAACAATGCCTGCGTGTCGGTGCAAATGTCAGCCCCGCTTCATTTTGAAGGTATGTACACACACCGGACGGGGCGAACGTGGAGCATGTCAGAGCGGCCATGTTGAGAGGCTACGTTCAGGATGCGTTTTTTGCACATTAGGAACGCAACGTTTCACAAAACCTAAAACTGCGTTGTTTATGTTGTTGTTTATGTTTTTTTTTTTTTTTAGGAGAGCGAGAGGTGAGTGGGTACGGGGTTAAAAATTCCTGCGCTGCATCTTTGCTTTTCTTAAAAAATAAAATAAAAACAAGACATTATTAGTAAAATAAAGGCAGGATAATTATAAACTGAACCTAGTTTTGGTGGGCGAACACCCAGCAACAGAATCCATCCGTAATTTTGCAATATTTTTGTCTCCAGAAGCACACACAGTCAAATCATTTCCCCTATATAAACATGTATGATTTAGATTTTTTTTTTTCATAGTAATAATAACAATAATGATTACTATTTTCTGCTTTAGTCCTAAATATACAGCTGAAACACGACGCCAAACGGTGTCTTCAAACCTTTGCTTTCGTCGCATTGTTTCTAGCCGGAGTGATTACAAGGTGTACCACTGTTAACCCACTTTGGACACGCTTGCGTTCCCCTCCCATTATGTACCACGTGAAACACACCAGACGCACCCAGCCTGACCCAAAGGTCTTGTGTATGCCAGATGGACTCGGAGTGACTTGAATATGGTATTGTCCTGGGACCTTATTTTGGAGGGGAGGTTAGTAGGAGGGGGGTAGTCCACGAATGTTCTTATTTTTGATTGTCCGATTACATAAGGCTTGTTCTTTGTTTATAGTGTCACACGTTTGCAAAACTTCTGACAAATAACTGAAAATCTCAAGCACCCCAAAATAAGGTCCACAAGAATACATTTTGTTTTGAACAACAACAAAAAACAACAACAACAACAAAAACACAATTAAATTAAAGTAAAATTGAAATAATAGTCAAGTTTTTCTGTTTTGTTTTTTCACAGTTGACGTGGACTATTTTGGCCATCATAATATTAATAATAAAAAAAGACAGAAAAACACAGCGCTGATTTATTAGAAAACATACCAGGTGGCACATAATTGGAAACCCTGATATTGTGTCTGTTCTTTATTTACAAAGAGAAACAGTCCCTGCGGTTGCCTCATCCAAAGGATTCTTGGATTAATGTTATTTTTAAAATCACTTTTTTTTTTTAAACAAAGAGCAAACCCTCTGAAACCCTGCTACCAGTCAATCCAACAGGTCGAGCAAACCAGGAAAACCGACAAAGAAGATTACGCCAAAAAAAAAAAAAGATAAGGGAGCAAAACATATTGCTTAGATTGAATAGCTTATTTTGAAAAGAGGTTTTCAGGCATTAATCCACGAGATGTGTCTCACAGTCCTGTGGAGGCTTCAAGTGGGATCTTGTGGCTTTTCTTCAGGGAAGTGAGGGGAGGGGGGCATAAAAACGGAATGTAAATCCCAGATAAGGAAAAAAAAGTTTGAAAAATAAAACAAATAAAGGCAAAAAGGGTGAGCACCTTAAAACACAGGATACGTGGAAATTGACATAGTTGGGACGTTTTTGTGTGTGTCTCAGCTCAATATTTCCTGGTTCTCTGAGTGTGCAGTGGGGGAGGGAGAATCTGGCCGCCTGGCTGCCACTTCCACACGGGGTGGGACGGAGGAGGAGGCCCGGCTCCCCTCAGCGAGCTCAGTGAGTAAGCAGGGCACAAATCCCCGCTGCTGTCAACGACGAGCGACGGCGGGGATGGGAAATTCGCCATCAGGGTGAAAGGCGTTTTTGCCGGAGAAGACGCTGCTACTGCTGCTGCCGAGCTGCTGGCGGTGCTGCGTTTGCGTCTGCTCCGTAAATCCTCCGCGGTGGAGGACGACGAAGAAGATGAGGAGCAGGAAGAGGAAGAGGGAGCCTCGTTGGCTCTAGGCACGTTTTGTTTTGTGTGCGTCCGGGAAAATCGGGGTTTCTTTGCCTCCCGCCCCGGAGCCCTGCAGGTTTTGTTTCTCTGCTCCCCCTCCTCTGCGCTGGGGGCGTCCTGGTTACTCCTGCATTCCTGAGGACCGGAGGGGGACCTGGGGGCCACGTCGGGGCTTTTCTCCGCGGCTTTAATCCCGCTGCTGGAAAAGCCTCCATGTTTGATGGCTCCGCTGAGATCCGCCTTATCTCCTTTACATTTGACCGCAGCGGTGTGGCTCTGCAGGTACTCATATTCATCGCAGCTTTCCTCAACTTTTATTTTCACGTTGCTGAGATTGAAGGCTGTCCTGCAGCTGTCGGGGTCGGGGGACGCGGCTGCGTGGGGCTCCTCGCACTCGGTCTTTATCCTTTTCGGCGGGGTGCTCGGTTTCAGCTTCTCCCGCTTGTCGACGCATTTTCTGTTCTTTCCGGGGTCATCGTGTGCGCTGAACCCCCGGGACCTGAATGAGGCCGGGAGAGAGGCCTTGTTCGGCTCGAGCCCCGGGGAATAAGGGACCGGCTCCTCCTCGGTGCTGTTTGGGTCGAACGCTTTTTCTTTTGCCGGCTCGGTGAAAATGCTGCCGTTAGCCGCCGGGTTTAACTGTAAAGAGCCCTTCCGTGGTTCACCAAAGTAACACTTTTGATGTTTGTCCTGCCTGATGTCGCCCTGACTCAGCGTCCTGTGCTGCTGCTGGTTGTTGTAGTGGAAGGTGGGCTGCAGGACCAAAGGTGCTTTCCCGGTGTGCAGACCCACCCGTGCACGTCTGAACCGGATGCTTTGGACCGAAACGCGGCTGGAGACGGAGCTCGAGTCGGACTGAGTGGAGCTCTCCTCATCTTCATCAGAGCTGACCTCTGAGCTCTCCGACTGGGTGTCGTCCTCCTCCTCCTCCTCGGAGCTGCTGCTGCTGCTGGAGAACCCGGAGCCGAAGTCCGAGTCCTGGCCCTGCGGGTCCGAGTATGTGCTGCAGGATTCGGTGTCGCTGCTGTAGCTCTCCGCGAAGCCGGGCTCGTTGTTGCTGCTGCTGCTGTTGTGGTGGTGGTGGTGGTGGTGGTGATGGTGGTGGTGGTGATGGTGGTGAGGTCGCGGGTCCAGATAGAAATCCGGAGTGAGGTGGAAAGCGCCGAAAGAAGCTCCAGAGGATTTGGGCTGGACTAGCAGCACCGGCGGCGCGTGCAGATGCACGTGTTTGCTCCTGCCGCCCCCCTCGCGCCTCCTCTTCCTTTTGTGGAGCGAGTCGCCGGCTGAGCGCAAGAGCCTCGACTGAGCTGCTGCGGCGGCGGACTGAAACAAGACCGGCTGCCGGAAAAACGCGTGCCTTTGGCTCACAGCGAATCTGTTCCCTGTAAATTCCTCAGTTTCATAGTTTTTGACGTGTTTGCGGCCGGATTTGGTCGTCCAGCGGCAATCCCGTCCGTGGGCTTTGTGGTAAAATTGAGGTAGTTTGGCGTCGGTATGACAAGAAGAAGGACTCAGCTCCCTCCTCCTCCCCTTTCTGCCGTGCAGCGCGAGATTCTCCGGGACGCCGTGCAAACTGAACCAAACTTTTTCCTTCCACATCAGCTCCGCGTCCGCGCGCAGGACACCCGAGGGCACATGTACCTCCTCGTCAGCGTCCACGCGAGGGCAAGCCGCTGTCGCTCTCCTCTTCTTCGCTGACTTCAACACCCGCTCCGTCTTGCAGGAGACGTACAGAGCCTCCACGTCCTCCCGCGATATAAGTGTACACTTAGCGGCGTGGAAAGCGATGGAGTTTATTGCCTTGAGCTTCCGAAGCTCCTCCAGGTCGCACTGGTGCTTCTTCACCTTCAGGTAGTCCATGCGCTTGTGCACCGTAGTCCGAGGGATGTTCTTCAGCAGGTCGGTGAAGACCTGAGACAAAGCAAACATTTGCTTCCCTTTGATGAGCAGGTATCCCAGTCTCACTCCTTGCATTTCCTCAAACCCGCAAACCAGGTCTCCCATGTTTTGGCACATCAATCCATGCAGTCTCTGCTTGGACTCTGTGGATTCACCAGCAAATGGCACAGGGTCTCGGGCTCAAGGCATCCTGCATACCTTTAATCCATCCACTCTGCTGCTGCTGCGTCATGAAAATGCAAACTTTGACATGCGGAGTTTTAAACGGGGCTGTCCCTGTCTACCAGCTTGCCGACAGCGTCCACCCCGGTCCGGCATGGTGAAGGAATGCGCAGGGATGCGTCCACCAAGCCGGGGGCCGCCGTTGTTACCTGCCTCCGCCCGGCTCCACTCCCCCTCTGGTCGGCAGCAGGACGAGGGGTAGGTGTGCACCACTGCCTCAGCCAGAGGGATAAAATAGCGAGAGGAGGAGAGGGAGAGAGGGAGGTATTGCGAGGGTAGGGAGGAGGGAGGGAGGAAAGAGTGAATCGGAGACAGGGGAGAAGCAGAATAAGAGCTAAAAAAGCAGCTGCTTTTCTGGCTGCTGGCTAAGCCACAAATAAAAAAAAGAAAGAAAAAAAAGACCGACATGCAAAGGGAGGTGGACCAGTCTGGAGACACCTTCATCAATTAATGCTGGCGGAGCGGACGCCCATTGGACGGCGCTGACAGGTGATGCAATAAAAATGGATATTCCATCCCCAACCCCCTCCCACACCCAGCCATTACAGTAGTTTACAATTGTGCCCACAGTCTGCCGTTTGAGCAAATAGTGCTGTTCTAGAAGGAGCGGATGTTTCTGTAGCTACACACACACATATATATACACACACACACGTCTGTACACTCACAAAACATATACTATTCTTTATTTCAAAAATAATCAGCAACAACTCTGGAATCCGGTAAAAACCGGAATGTATGTTGTTCCCTTTCGGTTGAACAATAAGGTGTAATATGTGTAATATGCGCATGCTTCTAAAATAGATCCATTTTATGTTGGCGTTTGTGTGTCGACGTGACAGCGCATTTTAAACAAATTGAAAAAAAAATAGCTATATATATTTATTTATTTATTACGTTCCAATTATGCTATCTTTTTCACGCTTGCGCAAAATGACCCACATGTAAGATTACAGGTTGGGGTTTTAATTCTTTGACTATTTAGTTCAAAAGATGTGGATATTGCTGTAACATTTCTTATGCGTAATTACGCACGGCTTATTGAGCGAAAAGTAAATAACAAGTGCCTCTTTTAATACGTTTAAGGTGTAATTATAAAGGTAATTAAAGGAGAACATATTCAACGTTTTGCTTTGTTATTCCCTTTTTTGAGGCAAGCAGGGAACAGTGCAGAACAGACGTAACAGTCAGGGTTGCTTTTCCCTTTCCACATATTTTTTATTTATTTATTTATTTAATTGACGACTTTTCTAAATTCTGATGTGGCCATTATAAATACACTTTGGGACAATTATAGAACATATCATATAATAAATTATAATTAGTTTATAAATTGACCCATGGATACTAATGCATTTCTGCAGAGCATATTTTTAAAGAACAAAAAAAAGCGCTGAATGTAACTCACCCGTTTTGCACACACTTTGTCTTTGCGCAGCAACTTTGCGGTATAAAATGAAGACTCGTGCATGTACGATTTTTTTTTTATTTTTCATTTTTTGCACGTACTGACTCAGACGCACACACACACACACACACACACACACACACACACACACACACACACACACACACACACACACACACACACACACACACACACACAAGTCTTGACTCGTAACCTGAAACGAGCGCGCGCGCCCACCTCATCCATCCACACACACCCGACAGGCTTCTCAAAAAGAAAAGGGAGAGAATGCAGCTGAAGCCTCCACCCTGTGGGCTCTCCGAATAACCTATTGGTACCATTATCGGTTAATTATTTGGAGGGAAAGAAGAAGAAGAAAAAGGAAAAAAAGAAAAGAAAAAGAAAGCATTTTTCTCATTCGATCGCCCATTGTCCCAGCGTCACATTTTCTCCAACGCTTCCGTGCTTCGACATTGTTTTCTGGATAAAACACGTGAGTCCCCCGTGGCCCCGTCCCTCACGGGGTCAGCCTCAAGACTGGGCATGCTCATCTCCGCAGCATTAAGCCTGCTTATGTTTATTTACAGGCTTGCCAGCATGTATTGAATAATACCGACGTCACCTTGGCGTTACCTCGAAATACGAGCCACTTTTGCACAGGCTGGTGAATCACTGAACACCTTCTCCAACGTGGAGACGCGCAGTCACCAGAAAACCAAGCACAGCGAAGAAAAAAAATCACAAAACTTTTTAAGATGCAAGTTTGTCGTTGTACACCCAAATTACATTTTGGATTAGGCTACAGAAGATTGGAGTGTGTGTGTGTTTGTGTGCGCGCACCTTTGAACTCCTATCTGCGATTATGTGAGGCCAAGTCTCTTTAGCTCAGAAAACTCCCACTGCAGCTCAGGATCATTTGACCCACATTCTCAACGCTTCTACGTGCAAATGGACATCTTCTGACTTTGTTTACGGCAGAAAAAAAGAGAGACAAAATTGAAAAGTGGCTTTCAAGTTTTGTTTGTGCATGACAGCAGAAATGCACTCGGAGTTTCACAGGAGCTACTGTGGGGGTAAAGTCCGAATTGCGTGTGTGTGTGTGCGTGTATGGAGAGGGGGGTACGGGGGGGCAGCCCAAGGATCCCCACGCACAACCACTGTGCGCGCCGTGTCCGTCCTGCATGGGGGAGGTTTGGAAAAGGACAATCAGGGCTTGTTTCATCTTAACGTCTTGCTCTTCGGATAAACTGGATTCCTTCTGGTGGAGACAATAAACTCCCTTTGTTTTACTGCCTCTGATCTCGTTTCTCCCAGCGATGTTTTATACTTTCATTTGGCGAGAGTCAAATCGTCTCAGCTCCTCCCACACCTGTTTCTGCTTCTCGCTTGATGTCAAATAAATAAATCTGTTTTAGTTTCCACCTGTTTGAGTTTCTTGCTTCATTAAAAGTTCAGCTTACCTGTCACGAGCTGTTGTTTTTCGCAGCTCCTTTTCACCGTTTTAATACTGTCTGTGTCTCACCAGATTCAATAAACCAACACATCTGCCTGCATGCGCAAAAAAATAAAAAAATAAAAATATGCGCACAACTCAACACAAGGTCTGAGCACATTTCAGTGACGCGGTGAAGCCCCCCCACACCTCCCACAGTTCAGTCGTTTGAGGGGGGAAATAAATACATTTATTTCACTATAAGACCAGGGTTTCCTTCCAGATGCCACACAGCCACAGACCTCCCCCTCTCCATGCGCTTGGAATCTGGTCGGGTCTGCTGGGGAGGAAGTGAGACCAAGAGTGGCCGAAGCAAGACACCTCAAACTCGGTGGTAATATTTACAAGCTTCCGTCGAGGGGCATGGCGCCCCTCAACGAGACGAAGTTTTGGACGTCCAAACTGTCCCAAAGCCCTGGCATAAGGTTCCAACTTAGCATACCGAGTTGGGCTTGGCTGTAGCAACAGATTGGGGCTTAAGGGGAATCAACAGGACGCAATTTAATAGTTTTGCTCAGTGGAACTGGTTTTCAATCCTCAATTCTGGTAAATGAAAGCTAAAAACGAAACGTGGAAAACTAAATAATCAAGATTTTTTTTGAATGAAAAACAACTTAAATCTATCTATCTATCTATCTATCTATCTATCTATCTATCTATCTATCTATCTATCTATCTATCTATCTATCTATCTATCTATCTATCTATCTATCTATCTATCTATCTATCTATCTATCTATCTATCTATCTATCTATCTATCTATCTATCTATCTAAGAGGAGCAATTAATTGTCTCCAGCTTTCAATTTACATAAACCAAAAATTCTGACATTGATATTGACATCAATATTCTGGAATTGAGGGTTTTGTATATTTTTCTAAATAAAACTTTCCACACTCAACATTTCATTTCGGCCTGTGCTTTTTGCCACAAAGCAGCAGAGCAAATCTCCTGAGCCCCCCCTCGCCACCCCCTCCACCCCACCTCATCCCGAACACTCGTCCAGCCGAACGCGTCGCTCCTCCCGCTCCGCCGCTGCGGCTCTCATTTGTTTCGCATTCAGTTTTATAGAGACACTTGGTCAAGGAGGCGCTGGCACTTGTAAGAGCGTGGACATTTTATGACACAAACCCACTGCCCCATGCCAAAAACAATGGATTCCTCTCCACCCCCCACCGCCACGAAGAGAATGTGATTTTTACTTGCAATCCGAGCCTGAAGTATGCGCGGACAGTGGTGGGGGGAGGGCTCTCTTCACCTTTCACCCCGCCGTGTTGGGACTGTTTGTATTTTTCTCCCCCCCTCCAGCCCCTCCTCGGTCCCCTGTGCTCCGTCAGTTAGCTAAATACTGATGAATGCGGTAAGCAGAAAAAAAAAAAGGCACAATTGGAGGGGGTCGGCTTCACCTTCCTGTGTGTATCTTTGCAGGCATACAACAGACATAAACAAGCCATCGCTGTTTACTGAAATATCAGGTCTTGAGGAAGGCTTCCTACAACCACTGGAAGAGGAGATGCCAAGAAAAATAACTTGCAGCCTGAACTGATGTCAGGTTCATTTGGTTTCACTTTTGCGTTTGCTTGGTGCAGTGGAATTTGCATTTATGCAACAGGGAAATGCATGCAAATATCACCCCCTACCACACCCCCTTTCAATTCTTTAATTTTAAAGGTAAGTCAGAATTAAGTATGGCACATGACGCACCAGCCTCCCACAACACTGCAGGGAAAAGAGATGGATGAATGGATGTTTCTCTCGCAACATTTGAAAACTTTTTGATTGAAAAGCTTTGGTTGCTAATCTTCATTTGCAACATCCAATTTGTTAATTATCATTTTAGTGTTTTTTTTTAATTATATATCTCACACACATGAAAAAAATAAATAAAAGAATAATAGTTTAATAGTTAATAATAATAGTTTAATTCCAAAGGAAGTGTTGCTTAAACCTGTAAGGGTGATTGCTTGAATGCAGATGTCCTAATTCACACACATCAGGATTTATTCTGCAATCCCCTTGTGAGTCCCCATTTCCCAACACACACACACACACACACACCCACACACACACACACACACACACACACACACACACACACAAAACATTTTAAAATGCAATATTCCTTTCTTTCTTTTGGTAAAAGAAAGAAAGGACTCATTACAAAGAGTACAGCCTAGACATCTGATTTGCAGGATGCATTGCTTTTGCAAGTTGCTTCTTTTTCTGCAATTCTTTCTCCTTGCATGCTCCATGTTTCCCATTATACACTTACGAAACTCTAAAATTTCACCCGTCTTGTAAAAACATAGCCACAACCACATGAAAAGTGTTGTTGTGGGGAGAGGAGGGACAAACTAAGTGGAGTGTATTTTTTTTTAAAGTTTGTCCTTAACTCTTTTAAGCATTTGCATGCTAAGTTCACGGTGTTGCTTAAATTCTCAAAAATTGAGTTGTCAACTGGTTCAACTACAGTGCAAGATTTCTGTCTGAATCCAAGAATAAAGTCAACTGAGCTAATAACCAATAGAGGAGATTGTGATGAGCTTTTGCTTTTTTCTGTGTGTCTATCCATGGCTGGAATAAAATACATACTCTTTCAAGAAAAAAAAATCAACTAATTCTGTTGGTTTAGTTTTTAGTTTAAATAGAGAATAAATTACATAAAGTATTATCTGCAATTTGGGGACTTAAACAGGAAGAAGGCAGCATCAGTGCTGTTTTCTGTTTGCAAAGACATCTTTTCTTTGACATCCCGAGCAGCATTACGTGTTATTTGTGCAGACTCTGACTTAATCAAAAAGCAAGTTATAAAAATTATTTCCCATTTTCAGCATTCTCATCAGCGATACGGGCCTTTCCACCATCGCTGCCCCCCTCCTTTCGCCTCCCTTTGTTCTCTCTGGCTCTAATAGGTTTCCCCCTGCCACACACCATTCACTTTTTTTTTTTTTTACTTCTTCTTCTTTTTAACCCCCACCGCACACACACACCCCCATCCCCATTTTAGTGCAAGGTCCAGTGTCGACTGGAGCATTTGAGCAATTTGAAATTAAAGCAAACAATGGGCAGGCACTCCCAGGGACCTCTCGCTCACCATATTACACGGAGGACGCTCGTGTGCTCCTGCACATTACTGGCAAGTCATTACGTTTCTCTGGAAACCGAGCGCAGGAGCACGCTCACAGGAGTCACTGATGCAAGCAGCAGCTGAGTGCTTGGAATGGCGTGTGTGAGTGTGTGTGAGCATCCTTGACAACGGCATGGAGAACTGTCAAAACAAAGCGGACTACTGACATGCTGATATGCAGCTACATACAATACATACCTTCGCAGGTTTTACGTTTTAGGGAGTTTTTTGGCTTAAGAACTCACCTTTGTGCTTAAATTTCCCTTCGTAATAATAATAATAATAAAAAAAACTGATGGTGATTCTGTAATGATTTAAGGTGAAGCACTTAAATCGCACCATTCATTTGAAACTTTTGCTGTTTCAAATGTATGGTTTAACTTAGTTTACAGCAGAATATAAACATATACATTCACTGGAAGGAAAAGAAAAAGGAAATTAAGGGAATAACTTTATATTTTTCCCCCTGGCAGCCAATGCAATGTGGTGGGTGCGGTTGCCCTGCAGTGTCAAAAACTTCAGAAACAGATTTTTTTTTCGTTTGTTTTTTAATAAAATGATTTCATAATTGCATTTTTAAATGTAAATAAAACAGTTTCGATTTATAACCTCGCGAGTCGCCATGAAACGTTTTCCCAGTGTGAAACACAGAGGCTAATTGTCCTTAACCACTGTTCAAATGAAGAAGGAGAAGTAAACAAAACATTGGTAAAAGGCAGGTATGTGCTGATCTTCGTAAGTCTGCAAACGGCTGCAAAAACAGAACTGCTCACGTAAACATTTCAATATTTAGAGTCGGAGGAAAAATGTAAAACTGTGACAGTAACCCAGACGAACAAGGCAGGAAGAGGACCAGAGTTTATTTGGCTGCAACCGACAGTGGGGGAGGGTGAACACTGAGAGTAAAGGAAAATACACAAGATTATTTAAATGGGCAACTTTTAACATATAATCAATAAACATCTCAAGTGACATAATGTGGGTGAGAACAACTTGGCTAGTAATAAATTATGCACAATTTTTTAAAACTTGTTTGCTTACTAAACAATAAAACCATTAGAGTTGATGAAATGTGGAGTTAGATCTTTCTTATCAGAGTTTTGCTACATGAATTTAAGCAACAAATCATCATTACAAGCGTTTCCACTTGAATAACCTGTATTACAGTCAACATCAGTTACTAAAACCATTTTGCATTTGGTCGAAACTTATTCATTCATAGCATTTAATCCAAAGTTTCCTTGGTGCAGGGCGACCCGGCAAAGAGAAGTGCCTTTAAAAAGAAATTATTTTCCAGGATTCACATAGAAAGTAGGAGCTGACCTTGCACATCTCTCTCATGCATGTAATGAGTGCAACGTTTCAATGGCAAAATAACCACTTAGTTTGAAGTATGTCAATATAACAACTTGTAATTTGAGAAAAAAAAATCTATTGAAAATATAACAGCTACATTCCAAGTTTTTCTTGGTATGTATTTTGCACAATTTCAATTCGTCTGAACACGAAGAGTTTAGCAGAGCATTGTTCTGTCTGAGGTATATAGTCACAAGTGCAAACGTTTAAATTGCATTTAATTTTTTTTCAAACATATATTTGTTTTGTGCTGCCGCAATAACAGTCATGTTTCACTACAAAGGATGCAGGAAGAACTGACATTGGATCAGATTCTTTAGGGAGTGTAACTTTTCTCAGAGGAAATTTTTTTCAAACCACAACCTAAAAGCAGAGCTAATGGATGTAAGGGATTCCCTCAAATTACCTTCTCCTTGACTAATATGCAATATTGTTAAATTAAATCAATCATTCATTTATTCTCTTTAGCTTTTTTTTGTAAGCAAACTTAATCTCTAATCTTTCGCATAATATTTTCCTCAGAATTCAACATGTCTGCGCAGCTTCTTGTTACTCTGTTGTTGACTGAGTTTAGCAAAGTGGAGTCTCCTTTCTTCCCACGTCCATGAGGGACCCAAAATAAAAGAAGAAGAAGAAAAAAAAAAACCCGAACCGTTACTGACGTCGCTCTAATCACTCACCGTGCGTCGTTACGCATTTCCTGTTCGCTACGAAGTTCCCCCTCTGCTCCACCGTCGAGCCCTGACGGCGATGTTTTGGTGAAAACAAAATAGTGCCTCGAAAAGGAACGCAAACACGCCTAAAACATGACATGTCGGTGGAGTGGCACCTAGAACGGCGCTGCGGATAAAACGACGGTCGTCTTCGACGAAGTTTTTTTTTTTTTTTTTTTTTTTCTGCGGTCAGTCCTTGTGTGTTCCTCCGCATGTCCGCTTTCCTCGTAGATGGTCTGCGGCGAGCGTTGTCTGACGGCGGACGACAAGCTGTTGACGAGTAACATGAAGGAGATGATCGGCGGTTGCTGTGTGTGTTCGGACGAACGCGGCTGGGCGGAGAATCCGCTGGTGTACTGCGACGGCCACGGCTGCAACGTCGCCGTGCACCAAGGTGAGCTGCTAGCCAAGCTTTAGCCGTTAGCCCTCATGCTAGTTAGCGTTGTCTTGTTGAAAGGTTAGCCTCCTCCTCCTCCTCCCCGCTCCTCTCTGCCTGGTTCCCACCAAGGCCGAGCCGAGGTCAGGCTCCGCACATGCTGCCGGGCTCCTCGCTGCTTCGGCTCGCCGGCTAGCTCAGCTTGCACGCTGATGGGAGCTGACAGCGGCAGCATGAACACGTTGCTGGCTGCGAGCTGTTGCCATTGTTTCCTTGTCAGAAGCTGTTACGAAAGAGGAAAGGACCACACTCCCTTTGGGGGGCGGGAGGGGGTGGGGGACTTCAAATTGAGGTAATAATACTGGTCTAAAATCAGGCAAACCTAGAAAGCAAACGTCCAAGTGCAGTCCGAGCACCACAACACTCTGCAGGCAGGGTCCCACTACAACAGCTGAGATGACTCAGATGATGATGTCTGATGTTTACATTAGCAACAGCTATCCATGTGTCCACTTAGTAAACACAGCCAAAGACAGAAGCTGCTAACAACTGTAAACAGATCCAAACAGCTGATCAGCGTGTTTTGTTTTTTGTCTTTTGGAAGCTGCTACTGAACTTTTGTTGGCAAATACTTTGTTAGTAATTCGGTTCAAAAAGTGGTACTTGTATATTTGTAGATTCAGTACACCAAGGCTGTATTTTGAGTTTTTTTTTTTTCCAGTTAGTTTTATTATGCCTTACACCAAGTGAAGAATTAAGACTGTTACTTTACAGCAATTTTGAAGACAAATTATGTCATTGCTTTATGGCATGGCCATGTTAGACTTGCTTAAACATGAGGACGACTCATAATTTGACAACTATCAAGAAAACTGTCATTGCCCAGAAGAGTGCTGTCTTGGAGATGTTGTATGTATAGAACGTTGAGTGGAAGGAAAACAGTATGGTAGGGAAAACAATTGGATGGACAACAGGCCTTAAATAAAGCCCTAAGAAGATTGCAAAGCAAAGCCCAAAGAGTCCATATGAGATTCATGAGGCGTTTCTAAAAGCTGAAAATTTTGGAGTGTTTTATGCATCTGAACTTACATTGAGACATATGAAAAGTTGTGACCTATTATCAAAAATAGAGACTCCCAAGAAATGCCCAGCAAGTGTTGTTTTTTACTGAATGTTATAGTTTTAGTCATAAGAAAACTGGTCCCTTTATTTTGCCAAAGGCACAAATTTATTATTGTGATTTCTTTTTTTTCATACTGAAAGCAGCTGCAAAGAACGTATTGCCTTGAATACAAAATTGATTTCAGATTATTTCCGTTTTTGACCGACTTTACTTGGCACAGGAGTCGGAGTTTTACTTCTCAAATCAGTTGTTTTTTTTGTATGAAAGTAGTTGAAATCATTAAAATAAACCACTTAGCTGTTTTAAAAAAAATCCCTCAGCTTTAGGTAAAATAAACACAGTCTCATTGCACTGTACTTCAAAACCATGACCCATTTATTTTTGTAGCAGGAGTGAAAAAGGAAAAAAAAAACAAAGAATGATACTCTGGGTGTGTTTTATTTGTACTATTGGTCAGGATTCTCACTACCATGACAACAACTTGAACTCATTTAGCATCTAAACAGGTCGATCCGTCTGTCAACGCAAAGCCTGGGCATGTTTTTCCCACACCTTGCTGCACGCTGCTGGTGAGCAGGCTGAAAGATAAAATAAAAAAAACTTCTCCAGTTGAGAGCCTGAGCAAAAATCTTGGCACCCAGAAGAAGAAAAGTAAAAACAGATGAACTATTAAACCGCAACACAAAAACTGGAAAGCTAAAAGACAGGTTGCTATACTTTACAGCTAACTGCTCAAACAGTGTGTTGTCAACTAAAATTGGGATTATATGTTGTGTTGTTTCTCCTAAAAAAAAAAAGCAAGAATTTGGAAGCCAGTTCTTTTTCTGTTAAACATATGCAATATTTATTTAGCTTGGAGTCCGGTTTAGTTTGCCTAGCAACATAAAAAAGTCTCCCAAGCCTTTAAGTGATTGGATCAGCTGTCCTTGTTCTCAGGATTTTGGATTATAGCTTTTCATTCCAGTGGATTATGGGCCCTGGTCACATCAGAGATAATCTGGAAATGTGTAGGGGTAGGCTATTTAAGATGCTCTTGCAGTATTTAGGGCAGCTGGATCGGTGTGTTTACCTGCATTGTTGTGTAAATGCTTACGTGCCAAAAAATGTGGTTTGATTTTGGAAATCTTTTTTTTTGTGTGTGTGGATGCTGATGAAACAGGGGCTGGAGTGAGATTTGCTGAGCTATGATGGGTGTTAGTAGCAGCATTGGAAATGTACATCCAGAGCAACTGATAATTGTAGCCAAACTGCTGATTTAATGACAGCTGGACATTTTTCCCCCCTGACCTTCAATATTTGTTTAAAAATTATACATTTACCCCGAATGCTGCTACATGAGCTTTTCATTAATTATTCAGTGACTACATGTATGGAACTTTAAGAATGAGGTTAAAATAAAGCACATAGGGTAAATACACCGACAGACTAGTTTTACTGTTTGTTGTAATAATGATCGTAAATGTTTTACCTGTAATAATGTCTGATTATTTCTGCCTCTCTTCAGCTTGCTATGGAATTGTTCAGGTGCCGACTGGTCCGTGGTTCTGCAGAAAGTGTGAATCCCAGGAGAGAGCGGCCCGTGTGGTGAGTACTTTACTTTTTCTTTCCCTTTTGTCTTTTTAGGACCTATTTTGGTTGCTTAATCATAAACGAAACATAACATTACACACCATTTTGACACGTTTTCCAAAGTTATTAAGAAATGTCTGCGACGAGCCTTGGCCATCACACCTCTTGGTTGGAACCAGTAGTAGCAGCTTTTATCTTAAGATAGTGTCAAGGGGTAGGGTAAGACGTTTTGCTCTATTCTACCACTCTTATCAGTGGATGTGACACCAATTTTTCGCTATAACCATTGGTTTTAAAATTTGTTCTTATTTGTAATCTTTTGCCCAATAAAATGGCAAAAATGTTCACATGCATTAATCTTCCAGTAGTATGTTCGAGAGCACCAGAAAGCAGAAAAATAACTGCAATTTGGAAAGGCTATGGCTAATTTAACATGCAACACTGCACTTAGATGGAGCAACATCCTTTGTTCTTTTATATACCAAAGCCTTCCTTAGGTAAATGCACAGCTCAATGGCTGGTAAAACTAATTGAGATTTGCAGTCTCAGACCTGTGGCTACACAAACTACAGCAAACTTAATAAACTGGAACAAAGCTTTGAAGAAAAGTTGGCAAAACTTCTTTCGCCATTATAAAACAGACCTATCTGGCCTTGTTTAAACAACAATCTTGTACCTATTAGAGTTAACATTGGCTGAGACTGCTGGATGTAGTAATACGCCACATCAGCTGAAACTGGTCAGTTTGCTTTGTGCGGCCTTGTCAAGAGTGGCAGAAACTTGTGAATTTGTTATCAGTCAGGTCTACAACGGTATCCATGTTTGTGTGAAAAAGAAAAATGCAGGAAGCACAGATGAGAGAGGGGAGAAAAGAGGCATATATCTGATATTATTATTGCAATATTTACCAGTATTGCCTCCTTTGCAAAAACTTCTAAAATCATGCAACTGTTGTACCTCTTTTCTATTGTAGTTCTTGATTTGGACCATATGGGCAGTTGCCCAGGGTGGTATTAGAATAGGGAGCACACACAAATGCTAGATCGAAAAATATGTAACATATCAGTCACTTGCGCATAGACCAAGTTTTCTATTGTTATGACTGCATACAGTCAATATGCATTGACTGTATGCAGTCATGTGGTATCACATGTAGTGGCATGTGATACCACTACATGCGTATCAACTTGTTAGTTTTATAATAAGGACCAAATGTGGCAAACTGACCCAGAGCTTTTGGCTGGATGCTCCCTAAGTGTAAATATTTGTAAAATACTCATGGTATGCTGCTAAATAAACCATAACACTTTTCAGTAAACCACAATATTTGTAATTGCCACCTTTGCTACCATTTCAAAAGCAGCATTTTGATGGAAGATTTGTTGAGGGGAGATTAAGCTGAAGCATTTTTAGGTTTTAAAGGGATTTATGAAGCAACCCTAAAGTTAGTTAATATCACTTTAGGTGATTTGTGACAAAGTGTAGCTGAGAAGGAGCTGACTCATCAGAAGCAATGCAGAAAGCTGATGGGCTGGAACCTTCCCTGTGCTTATAGTCCCTCTGAGGAATAACGGACCTCAGATGGCAGATGAAATTTGGGTGTTTTCCTTAAACGTTGCTGGCGGAACACCCCACAGTTGGTACCAGTCCAGCTCAAGTCCAGAAACACTTCCGTTCTCTTGTGTTGACTTGTTGTTCCTGACCCATTTTTTTCCCCCCCTTTTTTCCCCGACAGAGATGTGAGCTCTGTCCCCACAAAGACGGAGCCCTCAAGAGGACGGACAACGGAGGTAGATCCGATCCCACACGCTCCCATGTTGTCATTATTTACACGTCGCCGGCATGTTGATGGACCGTTAGCCGACTGAGAGAGTTATGTTGCTGTTTGTTGTGTGTGAGTGCGTGTGTGTGTGCACACCGGTCTGTTTTATAGGAGTGTTTGAGTGTGTGTGTATGTTTATGAGGGGGCGGGCTGGCATGAGTATAGTGCACGGCCTGTGAGGAGTCTCCCCTTTGGGGTTCATGGAGAGGTCATCTTGGTGGAGACTGTAAATATTCTCTGTGCATGTAAGTGTGTGTGTGAGGCAGTCAGAGAGAGGCACAGCTGTGGGATTGTGTCCAGGCCTGCAGGGAGGCATGGGGACAACACTAACACACACCATTTTACTACTTTCTCTTTTATTTTACCCTTCTCATGACCCCTCTCTGTCTCTTCTTTCCTTCCTCACCAAACCCTTTCCCTCATTTCTTCCGGCTCTTGTCGGCCCCTCCTCACTTGTTAGTGTGTTTATTTGTACTTTCAGGTGGGACAGTAATAAGGCAGAGGAGAAGAATTTGGGGTCGTTAGCGGTATTTCCATTACAACTGTACGCAAAACTTTGGGGATATTCCAGTAATTCCAAAAACCCCCCAGCAAATTCAAAGTTATCGTCCTACCACTTTCTCTCATCTTATTCGCCTTTTCCACCAGCAGTAACATCCAGATGTTGATCACACAATTCGTGTGATGCAAAATAAAAACAGTTTTACGAAATGCAGTAATTTCGATACAGTTGAAAAACCACTTGACCCAAACGCAAAAACCTTTAATCATAAACCGTGAATTTTCTCAAAATTGACGTTTCCATTAAGTTAATTTATTTTTGTAATTTCAATTTGCGCAATTATGTGATCAATGGAAACGCAGCTATTGACGCAGCATTCATTTGCTTGTTGTTTAGAGCAGAGCAATACTGAATTGTCATGGAGTTGGTTACATCAGACACATCTGTAAAACACAGTGGAAAAAAAGTTCAAACGTGAGGCAGCAGATTGAAAGTTTAGCTCCTGATTTAAAAAGTCTAGTTTAGTGAGGAAACCAAATTAAAGCTTGTTTTCTTGGCGTCTTGAGCTAAGATGAACTAAAGAGCAAAAAAGGTCAATGCCTAAACTGAGGAACACTGTGTTGCTTTTATAGGCCTGTTTTATTGGGCTCTTCCAGATTCTTGGAGGGTCTTCCAAACAACAACATGCCCACATTTCACACCCGCTCCACCCTGCCGTCCCGCCCCTCTGGCCTTCTCCCCCAGTCCCACTCAGCAGGTCAAAGGCAGGTCATGGGTTCAACTGTAAGTTTAAGCCTGTATGTGTTTCAGCTGTTGATGGGAGGGGGAACAGACACCTTCAGTGTGGCTGCAGAGACTCCCACCTCCATTTGACCTGCTGGTAACCTCGGCCAACTCCTCCTCAACTTATCGTCAATTTTGTTGCCCCTGCGACCGTGCCCTGCTGTCACTCTGCAGCCCTGCAGTTTGTCTTTGTTGACGGGGCAGCTGTGTGTGTGTGTGTGTGTGTGTGTGTGTGTGTGTGTGTGTGTGTGTGTGTGTGTGTGTGTGTGTGTGTGTGTGTGTTTTAGAAGTCAACGAACAGATGCTTCAGAACAGAGGCAAATAAATTAAAGCGGTTGACTATTTCAATGTTTTTATTTTCACCTTTTTAATGACAGATAAAAATAGATTTAAAAAATTGTAAAAAGATTAAAATACTTTTTTTTGTGCTGATTTCTGTTACGTTTTCACTAAACGGGCTTTTATGAGACTACATATAACTGTAAGAAAAAAATGTGCTGGTATTGCAGTTCCACAAAAAAACTATTTTTACTGCTACTAAAATGGTAATTATTTAAGGACATATCTAAAACAGTTTCTATTGTTAATTAGATATTGATAAGTAGACACATACACACACACATACAATTAAAACATTCAGCAGAACAGTCCCAGTTTAAAAATAACAAATTATTTAATCTACATATGTTTTCAATATCAAGAATTACATTTTACTTCAGTTCTAAAAACAAGATTATATTTAGAGTTTATTTTAGTCACATTATTTCAACACATGTAATGTTGGAAGGCTTGACTAAAATGTAGGAAAAAAGACTTGTTTAATTTTGTAGCAGTCCAAGAGTTTCTAAGTAAAAAATTCTTAATGTGCAAGATGTTATTGGAGATACTTCAATTAATGGGCCAATAGGATAGGATTGGTCTGCAGAAATATGTGTGAACTGGTCAGTACAACACTTTCTTTGAGACGTCAAATTGTAGGAATCTTAAACTGGAACTTTTAAGCTCTTTGATGCGTATTTCTTTACTGTCCACTTGTTGGCTTGGTTTTTCTCTCTGAACAGTTAAGTCTTTGTTGGACTCCTAGAAGTCACTACATTTTCTGCATATTTATTTCCTCCTGCTTTAAATTCACAAGTTACAAGGAATGGATTAAATAAATCCACACATCACATCAAATGTTGCAGAATTTGTTACACATGGTTAACATTTTCAAACCGGTATATGTTTATTCTTTGTGGGTGTTTTCAGGCTGGGCCCACGTGGTTTGTGCCCTGTACATCCCTGAAGTGGAGTTTGCTAACGTTTCAACCATGGAGCCAATAGTTCTACAGTCTGTCCCCCATGAACGCTACAACAAGGTAGAGACACCACAGAAAACTTGCAAAATTTAAAATGTGAAAATGTAAGTTTTTCCTTTCCTACAATGAACTTTGGTCGCTCTGTGTGCAGACATGTTACATCTGTGAAGAGCAGGGCAGAGAGAGTAAAGCCGCCACTGGAGCCTGCATGACCTGCAACAAACACGGCTGCAGACAGGCCTTCCACGTGACATGGTGAGGCTTGCGTGGGAGCCAACTCATCGGCCACCAGCGTTTTCCTGCTCCACATTTTTATTCTGGGCTCCATGTTTCTCCTCAGCTGTGTGCTAACCTTTATGACATGTTGAGCTAAGAAATTGGCCCAGGAATTTAGTTTTTTTAAAAAAAAAATACAATTCCTGCAACTCAACTGCTTAAAAGCACTAGGAAAATTTTTGCAAAAGCCATGAAGTTTTCTGTCTGTTAGTTTAGTCAACATTAGTTTTGAAGGCATTTTCTAATGTTGCCTAAAATATATGTAAAGTCTTGGAAATGTAGTGCATTTACTAACCAAAACCTATTTTTTATTATTTTTTTAATTTCATCTTCTGCCTCCACAGTGCCCAGTTTGCAGGACTATTATGCGAAGAACAAGGCTCTGATGCAGATAACGTCAAGTATTGTGGATACTGCAAATACCATCACAGCAAACTGGTAAGTGCCCCAATATAATGATTGCATGCCTTTTATTATATACTAACACACAATTTCACACCACATTGGATTTAAAATTCTCTTTGACTTCAAATGGTTGGTCTGGGTCAGCAGTCATCTGCTTTTGTGTACGTTTCAGCCATTAATAACGAGTGAAATGAATTCTTTTTCTTTCTTTAATTCAAACTAGACTTCTGTGGAGAGCAATGTAGTAGATTACCTTCTGAGAGACTCAGTTTTGATGAGCACACACATCTCTTTTTTTTTTTAACACCTAAAGCTCAGGATAATTAAGCCGAAGACAAATTCTGTCTCAAAGAGTTTTCCTTTGTTACAGAAACCAACCTCATTAATTTCATTTTTCTTCTTACAAATGTGCTTTTCTCGTACATATTTGTCTTGGTTACAAGGAAGACAGTCAGCTGAAAGAGTGAAAGGTCATGGTGTGAAATCTGAAGGAGTGCTGCCCATTATGTGTATTGATGGTAGTGTTTTCCTGAAATGCTACAGCAGACTATAGGCCAGCTACATGTGGCCTGTAGTCACGTGTGGCTAATTAACCTACTAAAATCACCTTGCTAAAATCATCCTCTGAGAAGACCAAATAACAGGAAGTGATTATATCTTAGCATGTATGTTAAAAAAATTCTGCATACGTCTGTAAAAAAAAAAAAAAAAGAAAGATAGAAAACAAATATTTGACTGAATTTTCCCAGTTCTTGTGAATTATACTCTTATTTCTTCTTTGTTGAGCTGATAAAGAATTTTTTTTAATTACTTGCCCCAAATACATTTCAAATAGTGATTGTCAGCACTTCCACTTGTGCTCTCTATGTCCTCTTGGGTGTTGATGTATCAAAAGCAGCACACATGTTGATTTTTGTTTTGTTTCTGCTTTTCTTTTTGTTCTTACTTTTTTGGCTTCCATTTCTCTTCTGTCCTTCCTTTAATACTGCTCTGTTCTGTTAAAACCATGTGTTTTGTTATCTTCTCTAGACATTCTTGTGCTTCCTATCTTTGGTCTCTCCAATACTTTTAGTGTGCTTCACAGAATCCATCATGGCACTCCTTTTTTCTTCCTAATATGGTTTCAATTCATCTGTCCCTCTCCACCTGCCATTGTTCCTCCCTTTATTCCCTATCTATTACGATACTACTCCCCATAATTTACATATGTTGAAAATACTGAGCTTGGTTTCAGGTTTTTGACTCGAATAGTCCTTTTTGCTGAAACTTAATGCATTTGAAAATTTGAAAGCGATTTGTTATTATCTTAAATTTCACCAGCCTTTACAATCTGCAAATTATTGACTCCTTTTGCATGATCACAGCCATTTGTAATCTCTGTTTTAGAACATCTGTTCGTTGTCAGAGTGAATGCAGTCCCAAAGTAATAAGAATAGGCAAATACACCAACAGAAAATAGACAACAAAATTCAACACTTGTTTGCCGTTCGCACATGGACTGAAAAGATCAACTGTTGTGTTTGTCTCACGCTCACCGCCCTGGTCACACATGTCTGCTAAGCATCGGTTGGGGGCAGGGAGTCGAGTGTCTCTGACAACGAAGAGCTTGTACCACTGATTTGCGGAGCAATGGTTGAATAGAGTTGAAGCTACTGTGCACAAACACGTCCATACAGGCAGCATTTTCCAGTGTTAACAAATGCTGATGGAAAGACTCATGCTGGCACATTGATTACATTGATCGTATATGATTTGCTTTGGATGCTGGGGTATAATGTCATTACGATTGGACTGTCTGGATGACAGGAATGTACGCGGGGGAATTAATGATAGGGAAAAAAAAACAATGCTGTCAACAGAATGGGTTTCATAAGATGGCTCTTGATGGATATTTACGCCATGTTAGCAACATATGGTGTTTGACTGGATTTGGTCTGTAAACCTAATTTCAAATTATGATTAATCTGCTTAGCTCTTGGGTACAGTGAATTCATTTTTCATCCTGTGTGAGTTATTTTACTTCTGTTTATATATAGATGCACCACCTTTCATATTCTCCTTTACTGGGGAGCTCTGGGAAGCTGTTGTTTTTGGACATGTTTATGGCCGAGAGCAGCAAGCTTTGTTGCAAAACTTTTGAAACTAGTCTTTGGACAAGATCCAAGAATGGTTCAAGTCAGTTCTCTCAGTTATACTGTAAACAGATGTCATTTGTTGCATTATTTGGTTTATCCTGTGACTCTATTTTGAGCAAGAAATCCCCCCCAAACAATGAAACTCAACATAATGACATTCTGAAACTTAACACATCTTTTACCGCAATCAAACAAAAAAAATGAAAGAAGAAAACACACTTTTTTGCTTTTGGTAATTTTTGGCCTGAAAATTAAACTTTTTTTTTTTTCATACGAACACCTACTGCCACAGTACTTTAATTTTTCCCCAACAGGAACCTGACACATGGCGATTTTTAAACAAAAAAATTATTATTTTCTTTGCCTGATTTTGTCCATAATTTAAGTCAACTTTTTTAGTTTATTCTTATTGTTTTCTTTCTGATCTCAATTTTTAAAAATCAACATTTAGGCTTTTTTTTTCTCTGTGGAGTTCTATCCGGTAACTTGGAGTCCTCTTTACTTTTTAGCGAAGGAGCAAGGGCCGTGGTAGTAGGTCTCAAAGCTTAAGTGACTCTTCCTCACATTCTATGGATAGACCCACAGAGCAGGACAAGAAGGTAAGACAGCTCTGTGACCTTACCACCCCTATGCCTCCCACCCACGACTGTGACTCTTCCAGAAACATAGACCGGGCTCACATTGTGGAGGGACAGGAGAAGGTACATTCACTGGGAGTGAGACATAACCCGTTTCTCTTGTTTGAAGGCTTTTTTTGTGTCTAATCTGTGTCTTGTTAAGGCCTTTTATACACCACAACAATAAAAATCCACCAGTATGCACTTTGCACTTTCTGTAGTGGTACATTAACAGCTCAGTGCATTTACTCAATATAAATAATGAAACTTGAGTCTCTTTCTATTTTGGGCAATGCATGGAATTTTTCATTACTTTATAAAAGGTAGTGCTACATCTATTAGAATAGAATAGAAAAAAAAGAAAATACCCTTTACCGTCCCACAGTGGGTAAATTGTGGTGCAACAGCAGCAAAGTGGCACACAATTGAGGCATGTATAGTGACAAAAGGCATAAATGTAAATTATAGAAAGAAAACAGAATTGATATACTGTGAGGGAAAAAGTACAACAGAAAATACTGTGCAGTTTTTAAAAATAGTATACTCCAATCTAAAGTAATGTGCAAATAAGTAGGATAATTAAAAAAATGTACAAAATGTGCATGTGCATTTGTGCATTAAAAATTTACAATCTGAATGAATATGGTTTTGACAATTAAACTTTACTTATGATGCTGGCTTTCATTTGGCTGTAACAGAGATTACCAAGCAGCAAACAACTTGCTCTCCCTACAACACAAAGTAGCAAATTCAGCTGCACATCAAGGTCTGGATGTGCTGTGCTCTTTACAGAGTAGCTCTCTTCTCCCAATGTGGGAGTAGCGCACACTATTCCAGATTGTGCATGTATTCTGTTGGCTGCGAGACCTTGGGAAGTTACATTTTTCAGACTGCAGTTTAAATGTAAAATGTTTTTGTCACAATGGCGATGTGAGGATTAGGCATTGGGTTTAGGAGTTACAGGACACAAGGTGGTAAAAGTTTGAGTAGCAAGTTAGGGGAAGTTTGTTTAAAATAAAATTTAAATAGCTGCAGTCTGGTTGCTAACAGAAAAGAAGCTTGGGCTTCAAAGCTCAGATCAGATTGATCAGCTCAAAACAGATTATAGAGCTGCAAAATATAGTGAATTGCTGTTATCAGAACAGCAAAGTGTGCAGCATTGCAATTAGGCATATGTCTAATTTGATGCAATATAGTGATTGTTTTTGATACTCTTAAGATACTACAGCTGCCATACATGTGACTTATGCATGAATACATAGTCATATTCAATAAATTACACTCTCATTTGTCAGATTAAAAATACCTTTTGAAATTAACTGCCTTTAAGAAGGTATTAAACATGTAAGCCCACATTTCTACTTCAAAAAATAGTTTCTTTATTGGTGTGATGCAATATCATTTTAAATTTGAATATTTAAAATGACATATTCTAATTCTGAAAATTTCATAACAGCTAATGAAATTTTCCACTTTCATGAGCTGCAAGTGGAAAATGGTCATAATTTACAGAAAGGCTTTCAAGCATCCACCATTTTTCTATATCATGTGTTAGTGATGATATTCTTAAAATAAATGGTCTTTCAAATAATAGTCTAATTACATAGATAGGTTTTTGACTTGTTGGATGAATTTCTACTGTTATCTAGGCTCAAACTTGATTTATGGGTTTAGTGGCTGACATGCTAAAACTCATAATGAGTTGCAGTGACATTGTGATTAAGGACTGGAATCGTAAAATAAATGTAAATAATATAAATTAATATTTAGGAGCAGTGCCACATTTCCATGTTTTCTTCCTGTCACAGAATTTTATAAATTTTTGTTCATGAGTGCACAGAGTCCTGGGTAAAATCTTTGCTCAACATGAGACACAATGTAATGCATCATAATAATAAGCTTACTATGACTAATTATGTCCAGTGTGAATTTGGCCTAACAGACTGCAGAGAACCCCAGACTCATTTATCCCCATTCACAACACCTCTGGGATTTGAACTCTGATTCAAGAGTATAAGTAAAGTTATTAGTGTTTAACTTTATTTAAAAAAAAACACACACACTCGCATCACAACTGGCCTTTTCAATGCATCTGTGGAGTTGTTTGTTCACTGCCTCTGGGTTTTCATCACCAAACTTTCCAACAAGTTCTAATTTGAAGAATCCATCCTCCTTTGCTGGATAGCAGCTACAGGGACGAGTGTTTAAGACACGGGTTTTAAATTATAAGAAATTTCCACTGCTTCCTTTCGAGTTTGATTCGTCAACATGAGGACTTTATAAAATGATCAAAGGATTGTGCTCACACAAAACACCCAAGGACAAACACTTCACAGGCTCAGATACTCAAAGAAGGAGATTATTGTTTAGACGTGTGCCAGCGTGAGAGCGTATTTTAGCCAAGGCCATATTGGAACAAGCTGTAGATATCATTTTGTTTGGTGAAACAGCAGGGACGTCACCTACAGTCCATTTCTGCTGTGGAGTGTAGTTTTTACTCCAATTACTACCACAGAAGTTGTAGCTGCCACAATCATTTTCACAACCCTCTCGTTGCCCTTTGCACTGACACAGATTTAGGAAACGTTGTCCTGTAGAAGTTATGAACAAAGCAGCTTGAAGTTGAGCAGTTTCACTACATTAATAAGTCCTGCACCAAATTAACATTGCACACATTTCAAACTGAAAATCAAACCTTTTCTCTAATTTTCTAGAAAATATTGTTCAGATTTTTGTTCTTTTTTTTTTTATATCTGGTGATACTTGAACCTGTTAGGAATAGTAGCAAATAGAGGGTGTAATTCCTTGAGCCTATTTTTTGCATTTTGTTTGTCAGTTTGGGAGATGCATATGGAATAATACTTGATTATGAATTGGAAATGGGCCAGATAGGTTTTTGTTCTCAGTGGTTTTCACCAGTCCAGCTACAGGATGAGTGTTTGTGAATCAAAGTTGTTTCAGTCCATCTCGCTGCTTTTGCTTTTAGCTGTTGTAATTCTCTCTGAGCATTTTGGGAGCATTAAGAGTATCCCTCTCTCTTTCTGCTCAGACTCATAAGCACATACACACCCTATCCCATTTCTTGGGTCAGGGATCAGTCGGGTGAGGTTTGTGTGTGCGTGTTTGTCTGTCTGTCTGCACATGCATCTGTAATGCACTTTGGAGCCTCAGATGTGTGCCCACCTCATGTTAGAGCCTGCAGTCAACCTACAGCAGGGGCTTTGAGATCCCCCACACCGGCTGCTCCGAAAGACCCGCAGGAAACGCACACATCCATACATACATACACAATGACTGGTCAGAGATCCTGCAGGAAGTGGCACAGGGGAATTCCTGCCAGACCAAGGCGGATTATTTTCTCCTTCACTTCCTGTTCTTCTCTTTCTACCCGTCTTCCCTCGCTTCTCCTTCTCCGTCTGACCTCCACCTCATGTGCCCTCTCGTCCTCTTGAGGCCATTGATTTGAACTGGGAAATATCTCAAATACAGCTTCAATCTGAATCAGATAAAACTTCACCATTTTAGCCTAAAAAGAACAATGTTTTTATGCATAACAGCATATTGGAGCTTAATATTTTTTTTTGGTTTGTTTGTTTTTTTTAAATATAAATGTTACATAAAAAAAATCTGTCTCAGTTTAAACATGTTGGATTTAAAAAAATGTTCTTTACTGGATTTCTTATCCTTTTACATCTAAAAAATCCAAACATATAGTAGAAAGATAACATGTCATACTGGTGAAGTTAGATTCTAATTAAATGCACTGAAATCAAATATAAAAGTGATATGAAGTCATTGTTTGCTTAGCGTTACATTTTTCTGTGATATACATTATAATCTTGAAGCTTGTGATTTTGGAGCATTATTCATTACGACAGCAGTACAAGTAAAACTGCAGATATTTTATAATCAGGTTTGTGTGCAGATTATAAGACGAATATCAATGTTAAAAAAAAAATATCTGAGCTCCTCATTAAATGTTTAAGTGCTAAAAGCTTCCACCATCTTCAGTCCTTTAAAGCATCAACATACATTTTGACACACTTTAAGATAAAAATACCACCACTAATAATATGTAGCCCTTTTATTGTCTGTTGAAGTCAAAACCTTTATCAAAAAAACATTGTACATTTTTTCCCATTTATGCTTTATAGTCCTTAAAAAAATCCAACCTGATCGGTGCATTGCTAATGATCATGGGGCTTTCTGCTCATTTTTTAATAGGAGTGCAAATCGTTTCACAAAAGCCTTTTCTATGTCACAAGTGGGCTTCCTGTTTCTGAAACCAGCATGACCATTTAGGAGACACGGATGCTTTTAAACGCTTTATTCAAATGACTCATTTTAAGAGTAACCGGATGCAGTTTCCCCTTTGAATTCACCCCATACAGATTCAGAGAGTGAAACGGTCTGGCCAGTGATGACCAGAGGAGCACATTCGCTGCTGAAAGCCGTCTTCGCTGTCTGTTTAATCAATTGTCCTGATTGATAAGGCTGTGTCGGAATCACAATGTGTGTGTGTTGTGTTTCCCACGGCCGGCGCTGTTGGTTCTCTGAGTGGGTGTGTTACCCGAGCCTCTCCACTCAGCCTCTGTCCATCAACACCTAGCTCTGGAATGTTAATGAAAAACAACAAGGGAATCCTGAAGACTTCAGCTTCCCTCTTTGTTGTCCTAAGATCTTTTTGTTGCAGCGGAGAATTTGGATTCATCCGCTGTCTTTGTAAAAACTCCACTGTCCCTCTGTTTGTTTGCCAGATCCTGTTGCAAAGTTAGGAGGGTAGGCACAGCACTTAGAGGACTATTTGATAGATTAGGCATTATTAGTTTTTTCTTTTAAATGAACATTGTGGGGAATAAACAAGAGATCAATAATGCAAACGTAAACTAATAGTCTTTTTGCTCACATTTTTATTTAGCAAATCTTGAATTTAATGACTGTTTCTCTTATTTTTATTATGTTCTTTTATTTCTTCAATTGTTTTTGATTTTATTCTTTTTATTATGGTTTTATTTTTCTGGACAGCACTTTTGGTCCCGTGTGACTTTTAAAGTGCCTTATAAATAAATTCAAATTGGCGATAAAACAATAAAATAAAATCACATTGGCTAAAACTTTTTCAAACTGTTAAAATATTACCTTTCTTTGAAGTTGTGAAAATGTTAAAGTCCTGTAAATATATATTTGTTTTTAAAAGGTTTTTTTTTTTTTACATGAATCTTTTTCTTTTTTTTTTAAATATGAGCTGAAATTTGCATTTGTGGCACGTTTTTAAAATAAACCAGCAAAAACAAAAAAATGTGCCCATGCAAATTCATTCCAAAAGTTGATGGTCGTGGCTATTTATCTACTTCTGCTTAAAATAAAAAACAGTAACGCTTTATTTTTTACTGGCATGTCTCTCAAAACATTTTTCTGCTAAAAGAAACAAGTGGGGTTGTTTTTAAGGAAAAAAAAAGTTCATCCCATAGCTCCATGTTACGACATAATCCTGTCCAAATAATAAGATAAATCTTGCTAAATGTCAGAAAGTTGTGACTATCACCCCCCCAAAAGATTTTAGACATGTAAAATTCTGTACAACGCCTCATCAGAATATCCAGATGTGACTCTTAACTCTCGCCCTGCAACATTATCAGAGGCCAGCATGCAGAGGAAACTCAACCAAGCTGCTAACTCGGGATGTCTGTTAACCGCCACTCATGAAGGAAGTCTGGCTAAACTTTCACAAGCCTCCATGCCGTCAGCCTTCAATAAAACCCTGTGGGAGAGAGAGCTGCGTTCAGGGTCTGGGGGGAAGGGCCCGTTTCTGCTGTTTCATATGTGTCAGAAAGTCCCAAACATGCTGAGTCCCTGCCGCTTCTCGGGATCTTTTGCATATTTTCACCATATTCTCCAGACTACGCATGACTGCACGCGTGCACAGAAGTGAGCATTTGAAGAGCTTGTGCACCTTGTCTGTGTGAATGCATATGCAGAAAAATGTGTGGGGGTTTGGGTCGTGCACGCGAGGTGTAAATGTGCTGGCACCCAGTCGCCACCTTTAGTGCGAGAGGAGGGTGACGGTGTCTGCGTGTGCCGGCGGAGGTGTAAATTGAGCTTTGATGGTCTGAGAGGAACGATATGATTGGCTGAAATGGAAAGTCCCTGAGCGGTTCAGCACAAACCACTTAGTACTCTCTTCTCTATACAGCAGCATGTTAAGCAGCCCTTTTTATCTGTCCTACATCACTCTGTTTTTGTGGCTGTCTGGGCTTTAATCTTAGATTGAGCCACTAAAATGCAGCAGCGCCTTTCTTTCCATTTCTGTTCTGATAACTTTTCTGGTCATCCTCCAAAGATTTCTTACAAACATGCTTCCTGAATATTTCAGTGATAAGATTTTACGCTAGTGTTCAATATTTATGAACATTCCCTTCACTCATCTGTTGTTGTTTTTTGTTTTGTTTTTTTGTTTGTTTTGTTTTTGTTTTTGTTTCCTTACTCCACATGGTCAGAAACACAAGGAGCGAGACAGACACAAACCAAAACACAAGAAAGGCTCCATGGACATGTCGCCCTCTCTTGTTCTTCCAAACATCATGGTCCCCGAAAAGGTGAGAGCATTTTTCATCCATTCATCCATCCACTCATCTTCCTATCATCCGTTTGTCTAACCAGCTATCAGTTTATCAACGGCCATCTTATCATTTATCCACCATCCAGGCTAGTTTGTGATTTAAAACAAAAAGGTTGGTGAAGATTATCTGCGCTATATTTCTAATAAACTTTAGTAATATTTTTTTGGGTTTTAGTGTCCCAATACAACTTTTTCACTTTAGATGTAAAACCGATATTAACCCGATGCGACAGCATACACTCCTTGATTACTTATATTGTAGTGTGGAGTGGCTTGATTAAGTGATAAACCGAGAACAAAGGTCAAGAACAATAAGTATAACTGTTATAAGTTTAACCTATATTGTGCAGTGCTGATTGGTGTCCTGTTTTCTTATTGGTTCTTCAGGGTGTCCTTAAAAGAGTCTTAAATTCAAGTATCTAAAATTAAAGCCTTAAAATGCACAAAATTAATAAAAAAAAATGTAAGTTGATCTTAAATGGCTTAATCACAGGTATAAAATGTGGGTGTGGCAGGATTCTTTAATCATGTACACATTTTCTTTTCACTGGACTTTTCTGACAGGCAAATATTTCCAATAAGTTGCATTTAGACATCTTCATTGCTTTCTGTGGTTCCAGGGTGTTGAAATGCTGCTAGCTAGTTGCTTATAAACTAGCCAGCTACCTTTTTTCTTGTATAATAAGTGCAAGTTGATCACCAGCCGGATGGACAATGTTATTTTTACCACTGATTCATTTCTGATTCCAACTGACACGAGGCCAGGTGTATTCTGTGCAAAAAACTGTAGAAAGATAAATGCAGTGCGAGAAACACGGAGAGTCCCCAGAAATTTTGCAGTTTTTGCTATGCCTGATATAGACATTGACCCTATACAACAGTAACACAAATCATACATGCTTTTATTACTTATTATGTGGTGTGAATTTTGTTATGCTTGGTTGTAACACAAGAGAATCCCCCAACCATTCCTTATGTTTAGATTTTTTCAGTCTTTAAATTCACTCAAGGTGGCATTAAATGGTCTTAAAAAGTCCTAACTTGAATCCTGCAGATCCCATACATCTGGGTTTCTTACACTAGGTTCTGTTTTGTTTTGTTGTTTTTGGTGCCTGTCATGGTTTTTGTAAGGTTTTGTTGTTCTCACCTTTTCCCCCCTTGTCTTTCCCTTCTTCCCTCCAACCCTCAGACCTATAACAGCACCGCTTCTGGGGGAGGAGTAACCTCTCTGCCCGCGTCCTCTCAGAAGCGATTAGACGACAACACTGGCCGCTTCACCAACGCCAACTTCCAGGAAGTGTCGTCCGCGCTCTCTGGGGGCGCCTCCAAGGATGGCCTGGCCGCAGACTCGACCAAGGCGGCGGCCGAGGGCAAGAACAAGAAGAACAGCGGCGGCACTCACACGGTCGGACAGAGGGGCGCCCGCAAGTCTCTCACCTCGTCAGGGAAACCGTTACCCTCAGCGGTGGTCACCATGGCTACCTCTTCCACGTCTGCCTCCGCTTCCACGGGGCCTTTCCATCAAGGTGAATTAATAGCAACAAATGTTTCCATATGTTAATTTTCACACAACTGGGAATTCTCCATGCGGTTAGAAAAGTGGAAAAGGGACGACAAATCATCTGCCGGTAGCAATCTGTCAAACAAAAGACCGGAACGCAAAGACCTGCAGCTGCAGAGCCCGACGATGCTAGTAAGACCCAAATAAGCAGGTGATTGGTGTGTTTTGTGGAAGCCCTGTGTCATTGAGTGGATCTCGCTCCACCACCAGACCCGTGTGTGTATTTGTGGCTTTGTAATCACTGCTTGGTCTTGACTGGCTCCTATAATCTGGGGCCCTGTCTGGAAAACACACAAACACAGACGCCGTGAGAGGCGGCGGCGTTCATACTGGACTCTTTTGTTTTGCTCTGTTTAACCTTAAAGCTCTTGTCAGCTCAATGTGTGTTTTGTGGTGTAGCTCAGTTTGTTTATTTTTTTTTGTTTTGTTTTTTTGGGGCGGGTTTATCTCTGTCCTTCAGAGACACTTCCTTCCTCTGATAAATGGGAGGACTATATGATTAGGAAGAGATTATATTTTATGATGGAAGTTATCTCGTTCCTCCCAAAAGAGTAAAGTGGAAACCTCCACAGCTGCAGTGCTTGTTTTCTTAGTTGAATTTTTTCTCCTCTCCAGTTCTTTCTCTCCCTCCTTTCCTCTCTTCATCTCTTCTTCCTTTCTTGTTTCCTCTGTTTGTAATTGTCTCAATGGTCCCACCTGTCTCCCAGGCCTGCTGTTGACCAGTTCCAGCAAGACCTCCGCTGCCCCTTGCTCCTCAGACTTCCTAAGTTTTACCGACCCGTCGCTGCGTCCTGGCAGTGGAACTTCGTTTTCCTCGCCGCCGTCTTTCAGCAGTTGTCTGGTCAAGTCGAGCTCTGAGGGCGGCGCATCGGAGGGAACCACCCCTCTCTTTGGTTCTCTTATGTCTGCGACTACGACTTCTGCAGGTACTGCAGCTATTTTCCTCATACAGTGCCTTGCAGAAGTGTTTGTAACCTTTGAACTTTGTCAACAGATTTTAGCGTTTTACATTTGGATTTCTGATATTGCCATAAGCAATTAATCAGTTAATGGTATGATAGATTGAAAAGAGTTTTGTAATTTCTAAATCTAAAAAGGGTAATTTTGTTTGCTGAGAGTTAATAATCCATTTTATTTATTTTTTGGTTTTGTGTGGCTTTTGTGTCCTTTTTTATTTATTGTGGTTTTTGGTTGTGTTTTACTTTGGATATTTATAATGTCTTCCAGTTCTAGTGTTAAGTGTTCTTTACAAATTAAAAGCTTATTAACTTGATTTGATTTGATTGTACAAACTTGCATTGTTATAACATTATCATTACTGTAGTTGAAACTGATCTCAAAACAACAATGTTGTCGTTTATCGCAATTATTTCTGGTCCAACTTTTCATCCATCACAATTTGTGAGATTATCTGTTGTCAATTCTTTAAACTAGTTGATTCGTTATTTACTGAGTGGGTTACTTCTGAAGGCAATAAGATCTAAGCTTTAAATCTTAGTGAAAGACATCAAAATGATCAAACACACTTGCACGCCACACTTTTTAGATTTATTTGTAGGAATCTTTAAAATCTAGATTTTTCTTCCACTTCTCAAGTATGTTCTACTTTATCAATCACATAAAATCCCAACAAAACATAGGTTTTGCTTGTAACGTAAAATGCAAGTTAAGTTAAAAATGATAATTTCACGTCTTTCTGTCTTCCTCCAGCAGTCGGTGGAAAACTGTACGAGAACTCCCACAGTCACGCAGCGAGCGAAATGACGAGCCTCGCCGGATCGACAGGCTACAAACGCTCTCAGCCCGCTGGCAGCGGCCTGGGGATGGGCACCGCAGTCGGTGGCGAAGAAGGCGTCAAGAAGAAGAAGAAGGGCAACTGGCGAAACCGATTCGGACCCTGCTTTACCACGGACGTGAAGCCCAACGAGGCAGCGTCGTCTCTGCCGCTCCCCACCTCTTCGTCTGCCGCCAGCGCCACCTCCTCCTCATCCTCCACCGCCTCCACCACTTCCTCCACATCCTCAACGCTCTCAGGCCGACCAGGCTTGGTTTCCAGCAGCGGATTAGGAGTAGGAATAGGTGGAGAAAGGGGGTTAGGGGTCATGGGCGTTGGCGTTGGCATTCAGAAATCCCCGTCGCTCCTCAGGAACGGAGGTCTGCAAAGCAACAGCAGCTCCACAACCGCTGGCTCAGGTGAGCAACACGTATAAACACACAACGCATCAGAGTGCAGAACCGAATCCCATGTTTGGAAACTTGAAGTTCATAGATGGTTTGTGTCAACTTAACAACAACTGAGCTGGTGATCATTTATTTTATTCATTTAAAATTTAAAATGAACAGAAGTTTTGAATGAAAAGGAGTAATTAGGAGTATTTTTTTAAAAATATAGTTTAAGCATCAACCAACCATCCATAATCATACGTCTTGAAACACAAAACAGGCAAAGTATAGAAAAAATAATAACGGCAAAGAAAAAAAATATTTTGTTTGTAATTATACAACAGTCTGCTGAGTCAATGTGCATCATCACATTTTGGTACAATATTATATTTTATTGTAATGCAGAGATGAACACAGCTGACTCATCATTTCCAGGTTTCTTTTAGATCTTGGCTCCTGATTGTGACCAACCCTTGTAAAAATTATGGAACATGAAAGGAAAAAAGAAACTTCTAACTTTGGAGTTTTATAAGCAACATAAAACAATTTTATCTGTTTTTGCCTACGCTTCCCACTTTATTTTTTATTAAACCCGAAAGTACATCAAAGGCCTTAACCTTTATGAATTGCGCAGAAATCAAAAAGATGCCTTTTTTTTCCGGTAGTTTCTAACCTCTGGCCGATTGATCAGTGCATCTCTGATTATTTACACTCCTTTTGCTCATCAGCGCTTGAACACCGTAAAACCACAATAAAAGTAACTTTTAATGTGGCACATTTGTGTCGATGTCTGCTCCACACAGCCTCAGCCTTTTAACAAATAAATCATTCAGAAAGTGTTTGTGGACAGCCTCTGCACAGCACAGTATTCAATTACCAATCACTAATGGCAAGGATTTGATTCACTTTTGTAATTGCCTCAATATTTGCATGCGTGTCTGTGTGTGTGGTGTATTATCCGTCTTGCTCACACACATGAAAAAGGCTCTGTAAACCCCCCTGCAGCCCCCCAATCATGTTCAGTTGCTTGGCAACTGTCTTTATGCTTTGGAGTTTCCCTGGGCTGATGGAAGTGGCTCAGTCTGCTCCACACTTCCCACACCTCCCCTTTCTGCCAGAACCATCGCCGTTTTGTTCCTGCGTCAGGCTTTCAGCCACCGTCTCGTACCTGTGGTCCGCTCATCACTCAAACCGTTACTGCTTAAGCAACTCGGGTGGAAGGAAAGGTGAATCCCTTAGTCTGATTGGAGACTGAAGATGTAGTTAGTTTTGTGTTTAAATCGGCAACAAAGCTTCATCTTGTGGATCTTTTTTTTTTTTTTTTTTTCCCACCTTTCGCAGTTTTAATTCCCCATGAGAGAAACATTTGAATTCTGAGTATTTTAAATCCACCTTTCCTTTTAGTTCAACTCACATTCACCATTTACAGTAACTTAAAACAAGCCTCCTAACTTAAAAGTGCGCTGCATTTATGAAGTATTCATATAGAAATACAATACACGTTGCGGCACAGCAACGTTTGCTGGCCCTTTTCCCGGCATTTACTTTGAAGGCCACAATAAAATGTCCCACAACCTGCAGCAACATGAAGCATTAAGTGATTGTGTGTTAATGCAGCCAAAGCTTCGTCCTGGTCCGGCTGTTTTATAGACTGCTGTCTGAGCAGCAGCGGCACCCACACTCTGACACAGAGCTGTGGAGGAGGAGGACACACACAGACACACTCCACCAGGCTTCATTTGCCTAATCTAGGTTTACCTTGAATTTAAGTGGAAGAGCTACAGAATCAAAGCTGCAAAAAATACTTTAGCTTTTTGGAATAAAAGTGGAATTTTAAAAGATTAGAACAGGTTAAAAAGTTGCTTATTTTTGTTTCTATTACAGAAGCTGTTTTGTTAGCATTAGATTAATTAAAGTAATTGGTTTTTTTGTTTTGTTTTTTTCTATTTTTATGGGGGGGTTTTCCAGCTGCTTCTCTCTTTTAATGTAAATAATAAATACTCACTACGCACCATAATAATTATATTTTATCCAAGTGGAATAAATAGGAAACATTGAAAATGCTGCATATTGGGAATAAAACTGCATTCAAAAATTTAACTTCCTGTTTACCCATGCTTAATTTTATATTTATTTTATTTTCTAAAGTAGTTTTTAACTACTTTTGTGATATTTAAAAATATTGAATATTGAATAAAAGGAAAAATTGATATAATTAATTTGTTATTAAAAATATGAGCGCTAAAATTAACATCAGGTTGTAAATAAAGTAATACATTTTATTACTTTAAAAATAAAAAGTATTAAAAATGTGCGTTTGATGTAGAGCTTTCTATAAATAAATAAATGAATAGAAAGGTTGTTTTGTTGCTCCTGAAGTACAGATTTTATCTAATATTATCCATCTGTTGGAAGTTTTTGCTTTATATTTGATTATAGCGACTCAACAGGTTGGCGCTATTTTTGTTGCATATTTCTTATTGTATCTGGATTTTAAACAGGCATGTTTTCTTATTTGTTGCCAATGCTGCTTGTGTTCACTGGCAATGTTTTTATTTACTATTTTAAAAATGTTTCCAAAGCCTAGCAGATATTTTTGCTGGACATACTTCTCCGAATTTAACATACCACATAATGTAAATACCCTACAGAAGGTCATATCCTGACACAATGAGTCAGTTTTCGGGTCAGAATTCGGTGTCCATCTCGAGTTTTGCGCTTTTCCCCCAAAGCGGCGCCTCCATTTCTCAGTACAACGGGTTGCAGGTCAGGCGAACAGCGGAGCTTGCAGACGTCTGTGCTTCATGTATATTTGTGCGCGAGCGAAAGAGGGAGAATTGTGTGTCCTGCTTACTGTAAATATTTAGCTCAGGGTTAATGCAGGGCAGTAATGGGAAGGATCCTGGCGTTTATCTGCCCCCACTTTCCTGTCTGCTGCCGACTCCACAGCGCTGATGGATAGATAGTTAGTCTGATAGATACGTGTTGGTGGATGGGGAAAAGCAGGGGTTAGATTTTGGCTAGGTTAATGTTTGATGGCTGCGGGGTCACTGATGGGACGGCCAAGCATAGTCAGGTGGGGGGGGGGGGGGGTGGGGGCGTGGGTGTGTGTGTGTGGCAGAAAAGATCCTGGATTTATTCAGGCCAGCTGGAGTTTAAATGCATAACGTGAGGGGAAACCAGGCAGAGCAAATGAAGCTCCTTATTGCTGTGTATTTATTAACTCATTTCAAAGATCACATGTTTAACTGTTGGCGTCGATCCCTGGGAATTCCTAATAATATTAAGCAGCTTTGTCTCACCGCAAACACGTCGGGGGAAGTTGTGAAAAGCAGCAAAAATATTCTGCAGCTGATTTTTAATTTGTAATGTTTCTGTTGCAACTGAGATTTTTGAAATATATATTATAATTTAAATAGAAATAGTTGTGTATGTTTTCCTTTTTTTTTCTTCTTTTTTTTACATTTTCACAATATGTTGGATCGTCTCAAAATTAGAAACGTTATTTATAGGGGCTGAAAAGTACCATAACGCCTAAGCTGAATTACTTTTACCAATTAAAGTCAGTAAATCAATTTCCAATAAAATAAAATTTTCACTCATAATTAAAATCACAAAAAAACAAAGCATCATGGAAAAAAAAATCTTTAGGAACCATTTTATTTATTTATTTATTTCTCAGTTTAAAACTGTTGTTTTTCTGCTTTTTTCTCATTTCTTTCTTGCCCATGATTGCTGCAGCGCCTATATTTCTCTTGGTGTTTTTGTGAGTGGCTTGTTTTTATTAGACTGAAGCAAACCTCCCATGCATTTTTGTTCCTTTCTCTGATCAAACACACACACACACATTCACACTATCATCAGCCGCCCTCGTTCCGGCTCTAAATTAGTTTTCGTTTGTCTTTGTTGGTGGAAAACTCTCAGGAAAACAAATGTCTCCGTGTTGTTGTGGTTACACTTAGCGTGCCTTGTGATTACATCAGCTCTGTCCTGCTAAAACAAGCTAGAAAGGCTCTGCTTTTCAGCTTCATCTCGCTGCCTGCGGATTACCCTCAGTATTTACGCCAAGTTGTAAAAATACAGATTTGTCTCGCTGATGTCTGATTACGAAGCGACCTCTTGGTTGTTCTCCTTAGGAAAGACTTCACTAAGCAATGGCTTGACAAAATAGCTTTTCTGTTGAGATAAATGAGACTCAAATTGAAGAATGTAGATATTTTCTAAGCTTGTCGGAAGACGGAGCAAGAAGAAAAAATTAGAGGAATGCTGGGTAATTCAGACCAGTGGGTTTCTGCCGCTGAACTGCACTGATTGCACAAGTACGTTTAAGATCTTTTGCTTTTAGATTTCCCTGTAATTATATTTTTATTCTGTTATTTATCTAATTGTATAATATATTTGAAATAAGCATGGGTAGTAGCTGATGCTAAAAACCGGTTTTGTTTTTATTTAAGGAATTACAACTTTCAATCTGATTTCTCATGTTTTTTTTTTCTCTTCTATTCACAGCAAGAAGTCGAAATGTTTTAGAATAAATCAGTGATGTTTAAAGAATTTCAAAAATGTATAAATTGGTATTTTTTTAAAGAAATAAAAAATTGCTACATCTGAAATTTGATTTTTTTTTTTTTTGTATTTCACAGTTTTTCTCACCATATTTTATTTTTTTTGTAGAACATTTTTTTTATCCACTGCAGTAGCCAAACTCTGATAAATTGTTGGTTTGCCCTCTAATCCAGCTGCTGAAAACCTCGCAGAAACCCCTTCCCCCCCCCCTGCCCCAAGCCTCACCCACCCTGCTTTGGGGATCAATTTTTCTGCTGCATATTGCAAAGCGTTATAAATAGTATGTCGGCCCATGTAGTGTTCGTATCTATCGCTCCCTCCATCCCTCCAACCCCTCCCCTCCTGGCACAAAGATCTCTTGTTCCCCCAGTGAATGCGTGCTGCCCTGAGCCATTCAGGCTTTTGTGGGGCTGAGGGCCCCTCGTCCCCCCACCCCAGCCCCCTGCTCTGCTCTCCTCCTCTGCTGGGGTCAAAGGAAGGCAGGGCTTATCCGTGGTGAGGGCAGGGGTGTGTGAGGGGAGGAAGTAGAGATACTGAAATGGGGCATGTGTCGGGGGGTTGAATTACAATTATCACCTGAGTTTTGGGAAGTTCAGTATCTATATTTTTATTTTTGGTGAAGTGTATACATTTTTAGAAGTTTTTGGTTTTCTGATGTCTGAAAAGAAAAGTGGATTGGCTGTGATTAATTGAAGTTATATAACTTTTTCCAACATTTCAATGTTTTTATTACTATTATTTTAAGCTTTTTTTGTACTTAAGAATTTCTACTATTTTGTTTTTGTTTACGTTTGATATTTTCCATTCCTCTGAAATTTTATTTTTGGTGTTAGAAACTGTGGTTTAAGCGAAAAAATAAATTTGAATCTCAGCATTTATTTTGAATTTTCATTAAAATCTGCAGCTTTTTTTTTTTCTTTAAAGACAGTTTGACTTAAAATAACACAAATCTTCCCAGTCACCATTTCAAAATCTTTTTTCTTTAAAGCTATTCTGTCAGTCAGAGCCAATGTCTGCAATGTGTCTTTACACATTAAACATGCACACATTAAACCATAATCAACCATAATTACACATCATCTTCCAAAATGTATCCCCGCCCATCTTATCGGTTTTATTGTGATTGAGGATTAGGGTGACGCTGTTAATGTTTTATCTCTCCACAGGTGTCTTCTCCGCCGCCGACGGGTCATCGTCGGGGACAGCAGCCGTCGCCATGGGCGGGGCGAGCGCCGAGTTGTCACAGCAACAGCAGCCCACACCTTCCCTGGCGCCTCCCTCGCCATTCACCGCCGCGGCTCCACTCAACAGCACAACCTCCACACACGTGAGTCCCAACACGCAACGTTTGCTGAAAACTCTCCTCACCCCCACTGCTCTGCCCCGCACCCCCTCACCTCACTCTGGCACGCATGAAAAAGCATCAAACCCACGGCGACGCACTCCATTTCTCCCTTTTCTTTCACGCGCGCTCTGCTTTTATTCAACAAACCCCCGCATCGCTCAATTCACCAACACCTCTCACATCTTTGAGCTCAAGTGTAGATAAACCGCACGAGCACAAACAGCGTGCAATTAAACGTCGTCTGTGGCAAATCTCTCGGCGCCATTATTAAACTTCTGCACGTTAGTTATCTGTAAAAGAAAGAAATAAATAAATAAATAATAAAACGTGCAGGTTCCGACCTTGTGCAGAGTCACTTTTTTATTGCGAGATAATCTATTGCCAATGTTTGGGTGCACCTGTGGAGGGTCGTCCTCATGCATTGAAAGAACAAAAGTAGACCTTTATTCTGGTTCTCCAAACGCATCATTAAACGTGTGTATTCTCCTGACAAATTCAGTTCTATTAACCCCAGTGAACAAGGTTGTGATGGATTCCTGCTAATTAAAACGCACAAGAGTTTTTTTGGGGGGTCTGGGGGGCTGGTGGTGTAAGTGGAAAGAAATACTCAAAATCATAATACACTTGGGTCCCAACATAAAGAATAACTGGAGGGAAACTGCCAAGGCTGCATCCATGCCCTATTATGTTTTTATATAATTTCCTTTAACGTGGAGAGCGTCTCAGAAAACTGGTCTTGGCCAAGTCCATTCTCCAAGCATCATACCTTAAAGTGGGTCTGAAATCAAGGCTGCGCTTCTAAAGAGTGATGAAATGTTTAGAGTTCTTTCAAAAAAAAAGAGAGAGAGAGAGAAAGAGAAATGATGAAAGTAGAAATCTTAAATATAAAAGCTTTAGTTAATCACCAAATTACCAAACGCTTCTTTTCAGAGTGTTTAACGAGTTGTGGTGTGTACTTCTAGCTTTTATTTAAGCTGACGTCTAGTTTCCAAATGTCAAAAAAATTTTTTTTTTTTTTTTTTTGTCAGTAGGAAATAAAATAAGAGCCCAACCTCTATCCTTGAATGAAGTCTAGATGAAACATTTCTAAGTTGGAACATTTATCCAGGTTGAAGTTATTATAATGTTACAATTTTAAATAGAAATGACCCAAAACAAATTTGTATTCTGCTACAGTGTTAGTGAACAATCCAAGGTTTAGAATTCTTATCACAATGAAGCACCAAAACGCGCCATTTGCTTGAGTTTGCTGTATTTTTAGACTTTATATTTGAGAAATTAAGACATTTTGAAGATAGATAAAATAATGCTTAGTGAGCAAACTTTTATTCAGTTGCTTGCGATCTTCAAAATGTTTTTTATTGTCTAGTTAATTTACTAAGATTTTTTTAGATTCCTTGGACTATTGGCATTGTAGCCTTAGCTTTAGGTGTTCTTTTATTATTATTGTTAATAGAGCAGAAGATCTGAGATGCCACTTCCTTTTAAACCTTCATGATAAAAGCCCAAAATAAATATATATATATAAATATAAATAAATATATATATTATATATATATATATATATATATATATATATATATATATATATATATATATAACTAGAGAAATACCAGGGCCTCAGGGAGGAACTGGAGAGGGCCTGGAAGGTGAAGACCACAGTGGTGCCTGTGGTCATCGGGGCCCTCGGGGCAGTAACCCCCAAACTGGAGCAGTGGCTACAACAGATCCCAGGAACAACATCAGACATCTCAGTCCAGAAATGTGCAGTCCTTGGCACAGCCAAGATACTGCGCAGAACCCTCAAGCTCCCAGGCCTCTGGTAGAGGACCCGAGCCCAGAGGATAAGAACCACCCGCGGTGGGTGAGAAGGGAATTTTTTTTTTTTTTATATGTATATATATATACATATATATAAAAATTCCCTTCTCACCCACGCGGGTGGTTCTTATCCTCTGAGCTCGGGTCCTCTACCAGAGGCCTGGGAGCTTGAGGGTTCTGCGCAGTATCTTGGCTGTGCCAAGGACTGCACATTTCTGGACTGAGATGTCTGATGTTGTTCCTGGGATCTGTTGTAGCCACTGCTCCAGTTTGGGGGTTACTGCCCCGAGGGCCCCGATGACCACAGGCACCACTGTGGTCTTCACCTTCCAGGCCCTCTCCAGTTCCTCCCTGAGGCCCTGGTATTTCTCTAGTTTCTCGTGCTCCTTTTTCCTGATGTTGCAATCACTTGGTATTGCTACATCTACCACAACGGCTTTCCTCTGATGTTTATCCACTACGACAATGTCTGGTTGGTTCGCCATTACCATTTTGTCTGTCTGGATCTGGAAGTCCCACAGGATCTTAGCTCTGGCGTTCTCCACCACCTTTGGGGTGTTTCCCACTTTGATCTTGGGGTTTCCAGTCCATATTCTGCACAGATGTTTCTGTACACTATGCCTGCCACTTGGTTATGTCGCTCCATGTACGCTTTCCCTGCCAGTATCTTGCACCCTGCTGTGATGTGCTGGACTGTCTCAGGGGCCTCCTTGCACAACCTACACCTTGGGTCTTGTCTGGTGTGGTAGATCTGGGCCTCTATTGCTCTGGTGTTTAGGGCCTGTTCCTGGGCTGCCAGGATGAGGGCCTCTGTGCTGTCCTTGAGTCCAGCTTTTTCCAGCCATTGGTAGGATTTACTGATATCAGCCACTTGGGTTATTTGCTGGTGGTACATCCCATGTAGGGGTTTGTCCTCCCATGATGGTATCTCTGGCACCTCAACCTCCGTTCCCTGTTGTCTGAGACATTCACTGAGCACATTGTCTGTTGAGGCTTTGTCTCTGATGTATTTATGGATCTTAGTTGTTTCGTCCTGGACAGTGGTTCTCACACTCACTAGTCCTCTGCCTCCTTCCTTGCGGCTCGTGTACAGTCTCAGGGTGCTGGATTTGGGATGGAACCCTCCATGCATTGTTAGTAGCTTTCTGGTCTTAATATCTGTGGCTTTTATCTCCTCCTTTGGCCAGCTAATTATTCCAGCAGGGTATCTGATTACTGGCAAGGCATAGCTGTTTATCGCACGGATTTTGTTCTTGCCATTGAGCTGGCTTCTCAGGACTTGCCTTATTCGTTGGAGGTATTTAGCTGTGGCTCCTTTCCTTGTGACCTCATCGAGGTTGCCATTTGCTTGTGGTATACCTAGGTACTTGTAACTGTCCTCTATGTCTGCTATTGTTCCTTCTGGGAGTGAGACCCCTTCTGTGTGGATGACCTTCCCCCTCTTTGTGACCAGCCGACCACATTTCTCTAGTCCGAATGACATCCCAATGTCAGTGCTGTAGATCCTGGTGGTGTGGATCAGTGAGTCGATGTCTCGCTCACACTTGGCGTACAGCTTGATGTCATCCATGTAGAGTAGGTGACTGATATTGGCCCCATTTTTGAGTCTGTATCCGTAGCCAGTCTTGTTGATAACTTGGCTGAGGGGGTTCAGGCCTATGCAGAACAGTAGCGGGGACAGAGCATCTCCTTGGTATATGCCACATTTGATGGACACTTGTGCAAGTGGTTTGCAGTTGGCTTCAAGGGTGGTTTTCCACAGCCTCATCGAGTTTGCAATGAAGGCTCTCAGAGTCCTGTTGATGTTATACATCTCTAAGCATTCAATGATCCAAGTATGCGGCATTGAGTCATAGGCTTCTTGTAATCAATCCAAGCCATGCACAGGTTGGTGTGTCGGGTTTTGCAGTCTCGGGCAACTGTGCGGTCTACGAGGAGTTGGTGTTTGGCTCCTCTGCTATTTACACCGATACCCTTCTGTGCCGTGCTCATGTGTTTATCCATGTGTTTGCTTATCTTGGCCGCTATGATGCCTGACATGAGCTTCCAGGTTGTGGAGAGGCAGGTTATTGGTCGGTAGTTGGGTGGGACTGGACCCTTTGATGGATCCTTCTGGATTAGGATTGTCCGCCCTTCAGTTAACCATTCAGGGTGAGTCCCACTTTGTAGCAGCTGGTTCATTTGGGCTGCCATTCGCTCATGGAGAGCAGTGAGTTTCTTTAGCCAGTAGGCATGGATCATGTCAGGCCCTGGTGCTGTCCAGTTTTTCATACCTGAGACTCTTTCTTGGACATCTGTCACAGTGATGGTTACCGGGGCTTGCTCAGGGAGGTTGCTGTGGTCCTCTCGTAGAGAGATCAGCCACTGTGCATTGCTGTTGTGGGACGCCTCCCTTTCCCATATGCCTTTCCAGTATTGTTCCGTCTCCAGTCTTGGTGGGTCTGCTCTGTTGTTATTGTTACCCTGCCATTGAGAGTACACCTTAGCTGGTTGAGTGGAGAAGAGCCGGTTAATCCTTCTGGATTCATTCTCCCTTGTGTATCTCTTTAGGCGGCTGGACAAGGCTTGGAGCCTCTGTTTGGCAGTCTCGAGTGCTTCAGGTATGGGCATCTGCCTGTACTTTCTGGGTACTGGTCTTTTCATTGCACCCTTGTGGAGCTCTGACAGTTGGCTCACTTCCCTCCTTGTTACCTTGATTTTAGCCTCTAACCGTCTTTTCCATGGTGGGTATTGGGTCTCATGGTTGCTCTTATAGCCAAGTATCTCAAGGATCACTGATGCTGAGTTGTAGATCAGCTCATTGGTTTCTGTTATGGTGTTGGTAGGGATCGTTCTCAATGCTGCATTCACATTCTCAATGAGACTTTCAGATGGTACTTCACTCAGCCGTTGTAATTGGCGCCGGGGAGGCCTGGTTGTCATTCGGGTCATGATTCTCTCTCTCAGGTCAGCAGCTGTCTCGTTCAGCTCTGTTTCGCTCATTGGGGCCGTGTATCCCCTCACTGGGTGGGGACTTGTAGTTAAGTCCCCACAGTCCTGACATCCGGGTTCCTCCCTTTTGCCGTAGCATTTGTGTTGTATCTCGTCAATCTCAAGTTGTGATAGCAGTTGCCGTTTGTGGATGTTGGAACACTGAGCTACTAGTTGTTTAGCGCTTAGTGTTGACTGGGGATGTCGAAGTAACCATTCCTTCCCCAGTCTTTGCATGTAACCTCTCTCACTAGGGTTACTTGAGTAGTAGCATTCCAACAGATCCACATTTTCATCTCTCGCCCATTTCCGTCTTGTTCCAGTAGCCCATTTGTCATCAAGGTGCTCTGGTTCCCCAACACCTGACGCAGACCTTGTTTGGCCGGGCGACGTCTGAGCCGGCATGTTATGCAGCTTAGTATCTCTCATGGTATGAGGTAGGCAGTAGCTTGAAGGGTCTTGCCTAAGGACCCAGACTGGATTCGAACCCTGCCCTCTCGGGTGATATACTGATGCCTTATGTATTGAGCTATCCAGTCAGCTATATATATATATATATATATATATATATATATATATATATATATATATATATATATATATATATATATATATATTTAGAATGTATTTTTTTCAATGGGTAGAGCCTGAGCTTGAAGCAATTTGATTAGCTTCTCTTTTACCAAAAGTGTCGACTGTACAGATGATCTCAGCTACTACTTCTTTCAAACCTTCACAATAAGAGCCTTTATTTGCAAACTTCACCTATGTATATTCAGGTATTTCCATTATAAGAACATTTCTAAAGATAAAAACAAGATCCATCCATTCAGCAGTCTGTTGATGAGAAGTTTAATTTGTGACTGAATGAATATTTGTCGATGCTAAATTATGGGATATTTATGCTGCACAAAAACCGATTAATAAAGTGCAATTACTTCTGGATGGATCAACATCTTTTGCATATTTTAAACCTATTTGAACAAATCTTGATAATATCAAGAACATTAATTTATGGCATGATAATCAGGATTTTAAAAATCCTCCCGACTAATAGTATGTAATGCTCAAATTTCCCTATCTTTGTCCACACAAGTCTCTTTTTTTCCTCCAGTGTCCTCTCAACACTTTTTTTTTTCTTCTCACCCTCATCCCTCCATTCCTCTTCTTCCTCGTCTTCCTCCTCTGTTGTCCTGTGATGTAATGACAAATGACAAGCTCCACAGTAGGAATGGAGAGATGGATGGAGTGAGGGCGGGGTGGTTGTATGGTAAAGGTGGAAGGTTGGAGGCGGTATCCCTCAGTTTAACATGTTCCAGAGGATGAAAGAGAAAAAGTGTTTGTGTGATTCAGACGGTTTTTTTCTCACTTTTCCTCTGATTTTTTTTTGTGTTGTTGTTTTTTTTAACGCGGTGGCCTGTGCATCTGGGAAACATGCAGACTTTGAACTAAGCCAACAACAGGCTTCCCCGGCTCAGTGTGTGTGTGAGAGCGAAAGACTGAGACGGTTTGGTGTTTTCGGTCCACTAACAGACTCTTGGCCTTCTGCTATTGGCTATTTGCCTAAGATGGGGGGGGGGGAAAGGGAGTGTGAGAGAGACTTAAATGAAAAATGAATGCAAATGAAAAATTAATGTTGATGTGAAAGGGGGAAGGATTATGGAAACAAGGGATGGAGGAGGAGGGGTTAGAGAGAAGGGAACAACTTTCTTAGAAATTAAACTAGAAAGATTTTTTTTTTCTAAACTTGGATAATTTAGATTATTTTTAAGACATTTAAATTGTTTAAATTTAAATGTCTTGAAATTTAAAGACATATTCAGCAACTATCTACAGATTTTGTTTTATACATATTTTTAAACAGTGCAAATAATTTTGTGCTATATGCAGCATTCTATGGATTTTGTTGTTTGGACACAATAATATGAAGCAAACATCTCTCAAAAACAAATAATGTAAATAATATTTTTCATTATTTATATATTAATATATTATATACCATATATTAAACTCATTAGCAGATCCTCACATTGAATTCTACAGCGCTGCATTCTTCAATCAGTTTTCTGCAGCGTCACATGTTTTTCTTTGGTCACAGGTTTTTCCACTGCATTTAACAGTCAGCCATTTTGTTCGGTTAGGTGGAGTGAATTGCCCTCCTGACGCTCCACCTTCCCGCCCCCACCCCACCCCACCCATCGCACCACAACCCCTTAGTTGGGAAATGCCTTAATTGGATTAAACTCTATGCATCAGAAACACTTTGTCAGCATGTCAGAGTCTAGGGGTGCCGGGGCGCTCGGAGTCCCGCGTAAATACACAATAATACACTTTTGATTTTCACCTAAAAATGTATTTTATTTTTTGTCTTATCTAGTAATTATAATTAATAAAATAAAAAGATAATTTGAATATATTTTTTCAACAATTATTTCTACAATTCAGTTCTCTTTGGGGTTGATTATATGACAAACACACACATGTGTGTGCGTGTGTTTCTTTATGAAAATCGGTTGTTGCTTTTTCTGTATGAAATATATCAAATGTCTATTTTGCCTATTTTAAAATAAATAATTACAATATTATTTAGGTTAATTTTGATACAAAAAATATTTTTTTCATAAGATTTTTTTAATGAAATACACAAAAGTGTTTCCACAGCTTTCACTGCAAGCTGCTTTTTGGACACACACACACACACACACATATCCTTTCACTTCTACACAAACTGAAGACCATGTTTTGACTTCCATTTATTTTAGAAACTGCATAAATGGAGTGAAAACATTTTCCCCTTTTCCTAGCCATAAACAGTCTATTCCAAAGCTTAATTCACACATTACCTCTAAATCAAACCTGTAGACAGTGGAAGAACTGAAAAAATTGGAAAATGTCCTCATTTCCGGAAGCGACCTACCTTTGTTGGTAGATACTGTGAAAGTGGTCCTCTATATGCAGCATATACAAGTACACGCATGCCTATAAAAATCCAGTTATATGTTTAAGTAAATATAAAAAAACAAGATGGTTGAATGTCTGTTCTGTGCTGTGTGTCCCATGCTAGGCTCTGCCGGGCTCCGTGTTCAACCTGGCCCCCCCCCACATGTTCGGCAACAGGCTGAACCCCAACTCCAGCATGGCGGCTCTCATCGCTCAGTCCGAGGCCTCACCAGCAGGTACCCTCATACCTAACGTGGGAGTGTGTGAAGGAAAGACAAGAAGATAATGCATAGGTCACGCCCTCTTGATCCCACTGTGAGGTCAAGGGTCGCTGATAGTCTCGAGCTCCTCCTTCCTACTAGTGGGTGGCGCTTCTAAAGATTTGTTGCATTTTTTTTTTAATGCGTAAGAGGGAGTAGAGGGTCTCTGTGACATAACAACTCCCCCACTACATAATAAAAAAGTTCAGCAAAGAGGGAGTAAGAAGTGGTTTTAGCAGGCAGGAGTAGCCGCTTCCTGACGCGAGACATCTGGTTGGCCAGAGAGTAGAGACGCAGGAGAGGAGAGAGGAAGAGGGAATAAAGAGTGAAGAGGAGGAAGTGGTTCCTGCTGCCAGTCATCAGAGCCAGATCCACTCTGACCCACAGGTCAGCTCACTAATCAGACTGAATGTCAGGGGATACAGGCCTTTCTTTCTCTGTGTGTGTGTGTGTGTCTTACTCAGAGACTGTGCAGGGTTAGCGTTAGGACATTCACAACCTGTGTTATCAGTCTTTATGTGAAAAGGATTCAACCTTACTTCACTTCTTCAATTAAAGTTAAGACGTAATTTAAACAGATCTAATGCAGAAAAAATTGCTACGAAACTATAAGGCATCAAGAAAAAACGTGAATAATTTCCAACTTTAAAACTATGGAGACATAAATGCAGAAGCGGACTAGTTTTTAATTTTTAAACATCCTTGTCGTGTCATTTGCTTAAAAATTAAAACATTAATGGGAGATTTATTCTTATTGCTTGACTGATCCATGAACCTTTTCACTCCAGATACAACGAGCACTAAAAAGAATTTCTGAATTTCAAATTTTGTCAGTGTGCAGGAGTCATCTAAGAAGTCATGCAAGGTGTGTGTGTGTTTGCATGCGTGTATATAGCCTGTTTACTTTGGCACCCGACTGGCGTGAAACAGAAAGGGTTACGGCGGAAACGGCACTCGGGAGGAAGGAAAAAAAGAAGGGAGTCGACGACTGGAGTGGTGACCTGGTGGAGGGAGGACGAAGGAGAGGAAAAAAAAAAAAATTTGGGGTTTGACTGTCTTAAGTAGAGGGGAGTTTGCGCGAGTGTATAAATGCAAAAGTGTGTGCGCATGTGTGATTCATTACTCTGACTGAGGAAAATGAAAAGAAGTGTCTGGCCAGGGGCCCAGAAGGAGGAGAGGTAGAGCGAGAAAGAGAGAGAGTGAATGAAAGCTCATGTCTTGCAGAGATGGAAAGTTAAGGAGATGCTTGTAATCTTGACAGAAGAGCAAAGGGTCAGATCAGAAAATATAGGGTTTTTTTTTAATTATCATCTAAAAATAAAAAATAAAACGGAGCAATGATTTCAGTTTTAGTGTAAATAGAAGTTAAAGGAGTTGAGCGTTAGGAGTCATTCAGTGATGATCTTTGTGGTATAATTGACGCACCGTGTGGTGGAAATGACCAGGATCCAGATCATTTTTGCTCTTAAAAATTAAAGACCTAGCATGCACTCTGGACCGCAGCCAAACATTAACGCACATTTTGTACGTTTTAGAGGTAAACGAAATTTGTGCTGTCTTTTCTAAACCCAGCTGGGTGTTATTGAACAAACACCCAGTAAAGTTAAAGGAATATCCAGAATATTATATCATTTTGCAATTTCGATTTTGAAAAAGCAACACTTCTTTCTTTCCTGCTGTGCTCAGCAACAAGTGGGGGAGGGGCAGCACCATATTGAAAACTTCCCATGGAATCTCGTTTAAATGATTTAAAGCTGTGGAGACAACTTTTTGGAAAATTTCAGCAGTTTTGGAACCATCGCCATTCCTAACATCTTCTAACCAATAAAATATGGTTGATGTATGTTTACATAGCCTGCAGTTCAATGTTTATTTCTGTGCATTAATAATGAATCAAATTATTATAATACTACAATCAAACAAGGTGTAAAATGTATATATTTTTTCCTCTCAGACAGGAAACAAGAGCTTTAAGTTTGTCTAAAATGTGGAAAGCAGGAGGGCAGAAAACAACCATTTCACCGTCCTTTGTGAACATTGTTTTTGTGAACAATCTGCCTCCAACTTAACATCCGTGTGTTCTTAGATGTCCGATTGATTTTCTGTGTGTGTGTGTGTGCGCGCGCAGATCAGGAGGTGGGAGACGGCAGCAGCGGATCTCAGGGCTTCTCCATTAGAGCTTCTCCTAAGACCACCCCGCGGTGAGTGCACACACACAGACACACACACACACACACCCTCTTTCCCTCCCTCTCCATTTACATTCCTCTCTGCCCCCCATGCTTCACCCACACCACACACCCCTCTTCACTCTTTTTCTTCTTGCTTTTCCCTTCGCCGGCCCCTCGTCTCCTCTTCCTCTCGGTCCGCTCTTCCACACATTCCCTCTTTCGCTTTTAGCCCTGCAGGCGGTTCTCGCTCTCTTAGCAAACGATAACTTGTTTTAAAGGAGGTAACCATCCTTCAGGTTCACTTAGATACTTTGTTTTTCTCCTCGGTTTTAAATCAGCCATGGACGGACAGTCGGAGGATTTACTGTATCTTCTCCTTTTGGGAATACTTTCATGGATCTTTCGGGATGGGAATATTGATCCCAGAGATACAGTTCTGCTTGTTTCTTCCACTTTGTGGGATGGCTGATGCATCTGATGAGGTTGGTAACACTTGGATGAGTAGCGCTGCACTTAAAGTCAGCGGTGTTGTAAAATGTTGTGGCGGTACCGCAACTTAGATTAATTTGCGCTGTGTTTTTGACTTGAGAAGTGCATTTTCTCTGCCTCTTTTCTTCTCCGCTCCCCCTTAGCGCTGACTTTAACCTTTTAAAAGCAAAGTGCAAAACTCTTGCCATCTCTTTTCCGCCACATCTCCTCTCCTGCTGTCCCTCGTTTCCCCTCTTTCACACTCAACAGATTGTCTCAACAACCAAGATTTATCGCATGGCGACATCGCGCTGCGTCCTCCCTCTCTTTTCCCCCTGCTCTCGCGCGCAGACGGAGAGCCTGGCCCCTTTTCATTAGAGGCCACTGTAACAACAAATTGATGTAGTTTTATAGCCAGCAGTGTCTATGTTTGTCTGACATTTATGTTGGGTCGTTAATCTCCCTATTGACCTCTCCATCTCTCCTTTTTCCTTTCCGCGCTCCCTCTTTTCTCCACCCCACCCTACCACCCCGCTCCTTTCAGCTCTCCCATTGGCGGCCTGCAGATCCGCTATGACTCCTCGGGGTCGTTGCCGGGGCCAGGGCTGGGGTTGCTAGGGGCCGGTGGCGTCGGCGGTGGGGAGACGCTGCCCCCGGTGGCCACCAGCATCGAACAGCTCCTGGAGAGGCAGTGGAACGAAGGGCAGAGCTTCCTGATGCAGCAGGGAGCGCAAGGAGACGGTGAGTGGAAGCCAAACATCTTCCTCCATCGCCTCTTCTACAGCTAAGGTGAAAATGGAAAAGTGAAGCGACAGCAAAATCTGTCCTTCAGCAGAGGCTGTCAATTTAAAACGACTTTCTCTTTGCCTCATCTCGTCGTCCTGGAGTCTAAATGTGCGTCAGGGTAACTTTGACTCATTTTGACCTTTGACCTTCATGTAGAAAAATATGAATCGCTGGATATTTGAGCATGACTGACTGCTCGTCTTTCAGATTTTTCTTATCAGTCCAGCCACACATACTGTATTCACAGCATGTCTGTGCATCCTTAAGTCTTTAAATTTAGTCATCTTAAATAAATTAGATGCTAAATTTAAGACTTTGAAAGTCCTAAATGTATGTATCCAAATTTACAGCCTTAAAATGTCTTTAATCTTTTAAACAAATTTGCATTGGCCTTAAGTACATTAATCACAGGTCTTAAATTTTGACATAGCATGGCTATTTATTATGTATTCTCTGTATTTTTTTTTCTGTAGGGCAAAGTCTGAGTCATAACGCTACTGCTAGCTAGCTGCTAATATATATTTCTTTGCATATTTTTGCAAGCAAATTTATTGCTGGTTTGCTGGATGATGTTTGTTTTTGCCACTGACTCACTTCTGTCTGTCACCATCCCGTACTTGACGAGATTCATTCTGTTAAAAAAAACTTGGCGGTTAAAGCTGTATAGAGCTATATGCAGTCTGATAAACAAAAGCTACTGCTAAACAGACTTCAAAAATTTCACAATACATGCTATTTTTGATTCTTTTTAAAGTCAAGAAAATAATGGACAACCTTCATCTTCATGAGACTGTCTTGGGAAATCAGAGTGTCTTCAGCCAGAGGCTTCTTCAAATTCACTGTTATACAGGCCGCTAGAGGAGATCTGTCCTGCCAGACATACAATAACTCATTGAATTAATACGAGTTATTTTAATTTCCCTTTGGGATCAATAAAGTATTTTTGAAATTTGAATTGGTAATACCCTAAAGTTATCCCTGATATTTCTAAAATTTTTTGGTCTTAAATTTCAATCAAGGTGGTGTTAGAAAGGTCTTAAAAGTCTTAAATTTGACCTACTGAAACCTGTGATTTGCTATCTGTACCATTAAACCACCTGTATGTAATTTTTATGTTTCAGTTTAGCGCCATAGATGCCATAACACAATGTTTTCCTTCCTCTTCCTCCTATCAGTGGTGGCCATGTTGAAGTCTCTCCACCAGCTGCAGGAGGAGAACAGGAGACTGGAGGAGCAGATTAAAACCCTGACCATGAAGAAAGAGAGACTCCAGCTTCTCAGCGCACAGTTATCAGTGCCTTTCACCCCGAGCACTGTTTCCTCGGGTAAACACACACACACACACACACACACACACACACACACACACACACATACAATTTTGTTAGAATTCAGGGTGAATGGCTTTTGGGAGATATTTCTTTACAAGAGATGAAAGAAATGTGAAGAGAGAGTCTTGGAGAGTTTTTGACACAGAGAGATTTGCTTTCTACACCTGTTTAGACTAAGGGTGCCCCCTATCTTATTTTTCAGCCCATCAGGACAATAAAAGGGAAATTCAACATGAAGAATGTATAAAGCTGATAAATGTGAAGTCGAAGAAAAATTCTGTGCCTTTTTTTCTCATCATTTATATCTGACATACCTAAATAAAACCTGGTTCAACCAGTTTCAGATTTTCTGTGGGACGGTCTGTCAGCACATCTATTATTGATCGTTCACTCCATAAACCAGCTTTTCATGCTGTGGAATAGTTGAAAAAATGCCATCTTTGAATTTTGTCACAATGTAGGAGACACAGCAAAGATGTGGGAGAAGATTTTCTGATTATAGTAGAGTTTAGATTGGCTCCACCAGCTCCACTTCTTTGAGTCTCACATCCCAGACGACTTGCACTTGACTCATCGCACGTTTATAACAAGCGACAAAATGGAGCCGGAAGATGTTCTCCTTCCAGTCTAGATTCATTCAAAGCAATTTCTTTCCATAATTGCTCACTGCTTTGTTTTAGTCAAAATTTCAATCAAATACATAAAGTTTGCTGTTTTAATGTTGTAAAAGGGGAATCAGTACTTTGGTCCTGCGGTTTATCAAGCCAACACTGTGATTGTTTGTGTAGGTGATGTGAAGGGGTCCCACCTCGGAGCTACAGATTCTTCTTTACCAGTGACGACTCAGGTAAGGAGAGGAACACGGACACAGCACGGCTCTGCCGTGCCATAAAACACCTGATGGCAGTGAGTCTGTGTCTGTTTCAAAGGACACTGCGTCGTGCGGCGGTCACAGCAGCAGCGGCTCCACCTCCTCGCTCTCCACCTCGCCCTCCGTCTCCCAGAGCCCGCCTCAGCCGGCGCTGAACGGCATGGGCGCCACGGCCGCACTTGGCGGCGTCGCCGGGCTGATGGGCGCTCTGGGCGCAGGAAACGCGCTGGGCATCGGCGGGATCGTCGGAGCGCTGAACGGCGTGATCCAGACGCCGGCGGGCCCCGGCAGCCCCCACACTACAGGAACAGCGGCAGGCATCATGCTCCCCGTTAACAGCAGGTATCCGACTTCCTGACCTACGAGGATCTCGCCTGTAAAAGCATGAAATCATACAAAAAGAATTGTTTATTTCTCTGAAAACATTCAACAAGCGAGGAAGCTGTTTGTGTCTTTAGGGTAAATTGAGTGAAAAGTTCACAGTTTCCTCTTTTTCTTCCCTTTTGCCTTCATGCTGGATTGAAGCAGCGCAACAGGTAGTAAGAGCAGGTGAGACAGGAACCTGCACAGCTGCATCTCAATGTAGTGGAATGTTATCAAACAGCTTATTCATTTCACTTATTAAGCTGAAAACACGAGCTCGTGTTAGATTCATTAAACACAGACCGTGGCTTTCAGATAATAAAACCCCACATGTTTAACAAACAATATGAACACGATGAAAAAAATTCAATCATTGTACAGAACTCTTGCCAACTGAAATGTCCATAAAATGTGATCAGGGCTCCTTTCCAGCATTTACTTTGCGTCCTATCAGTGCTGCAGTTATTTCTGTACAAGTTTGCACCTGATCCACCACAGATCTTCCTTCCATTTAATTTTCCATTAAAAGGCTTAGATACGCCACGCTGTGAGCAACAACCAGATTCTTGTTTTCACTAGTTGTAGGTCAGAATCATCTTTATTTTTTTACCTTTTTAATTGGAGTAAGTGAAATGAATAAACTTGTGATGATGTTCTCATTTGTTGAGATGCACCTGTTGCGTCCCGTGTTGTTGGTTTGTAGCAAGAGAAACACTTTTAGTGTGTGTGTGTGTGTGTGTATGTTGCTTCAGCAGCTCCAAGTTTCTCTTCTAACGTTGTTGCCTTTGACCCCGCAGTGCCGCCCGGCTCGGCCTGCTGTCCGAACAGCAGCGTCTGCTTCAGCATCAGCTGCAGCAGCTGCTGTCCTCCCAGTCGTCTGCGGTATGTCACTTCCTCAGGAGCCGAATTCCCATTTCTCCTGTCCAGGTTTGTAGCGTAAACGTGTTTAACTTTAACCTCCCGCTCTTTGACACAGGACCAGCAGCAGCAGGCGCTGCTCCTGCAGCTGATCCAGCAGCAGCATCAGGACCTGCAGCAGCTGCAGTCCCTCTCCTCCACGGCTCAGATGCCCTCCATGCCGCTGTCCGGCGCTCAGCTGCCCCTCACCAACCTGCAGAGCCAGGGCGCCATCACCGCCAACCCTTTCCTCGCACTGCAGCACGCACACACCGACACACACAGCTCAGGGCCGGGAAAGCCCCGGGTGGCAGAAAAAGCCGTGGGCATCACCGGCCAAGAGAAGACATGACACTTTTTTTATTGTTTGTGTTTAATTGACTTTTTTTTTCTTTTTTAAAAAAATACTCTTTATTAAATATGCACAGTAGTAAGATCAACTTTTTGGTCAGAGTCCATCAGCTGGACAGAAGAGCAAACGTTAAAAGTGTTGCCATTCGTCTCATGGATTTCCTCCCTCACTCAAACTGGGCCGGCTCACTTCGGTTCTGCAGCTTTTTCTGGTTTAAAACTTGACCCTGAATTCTGTTTATGTGTGTGTGTGCTATTTATTTCAGTCTAACTTATAGTTGTGTTCTTTTTAACTGCTTCTTTGTCCTTAATGTCTTTAGTTGGGTTTTAATTTAATATTCCTATTAGTTTCTCTATAAGTTAGTTTCACCATGTAGCATTGGAGTAAAATACATGTGTATTTTTTTTCCCTCATGTTTTTTTCTTTATTTTATTTTATTTTTTTGGAGCTTGAGTCATCTAAAAGGTCAATTTCCAAGAAAGTTTAAAGCTAATCTTTTCTGTCATAATTCTGACTCTTGTCTCGTCTCGGCTTCTTCTCTTCGTTTCTGTCACGATGTTTCACTCTCAGGGGCCTCCGCTAACCAGAGCTGTTAGCTCGACAGCCGAGCTGGCGCACAGAAAACCTTCAAACCTAAAAATCACAAAAAAGAAAAAAAAAAACATCAACAAAAAAACGGAAACAAGCAGCAATACATGAATGAGTATAAAAGTACACTTCCCTAGAATAGCACTGAACAGTAGCAGATGTATGTTTGACATCTGTCTCGCAGCAGTCCCGAGGGGAATATCGGGTCAGCGTTGTGAAAAGAAAAAAAAAAAAGAAAGAAATCGCCCCACATGTTTCTGGCTGCTGCTTCTCTCCCAACGTCTCTTTCACTCTGCGCGCTGCAGATCCATTAATGTCAGCGAGCCAAGCGTCGCACTGTCACCGCAGTAGCCTTGCTGTCGTCTGTCTCTTCCCTGGGCCAGATAACGGGGGGCTCAGTCATGTGAGACACTTACAGGATGGGGTTTGGAGGAGGGTTAAAAAGAAAACTCAAGATATAAAGGCAGCTTGTTTCGAGATGCTGTAAACCACGTAGCTTGGAGTCCAAAACAAAAAAAAAAGTCATGAACTTGTCAGCAAACAAAGCCTCTTTCCTGCCCCGTCTTCCTGATTGAGTCCCCCGCTTGCACCTACCTCTTTGAGCAGGACCTAAAAGGCCAACCGCGGCGGTCGCTTTTTTAAAAAAAACAACTCAACAGTCAGGACTGGCCGTTCAGGCTCCAAACACAAGTGCCTGAGGCCAAATAGGTGGGGAGGGGGTGAGATTTTTGTGTTTCTTTTTACATTGCTAATTTTTTACAGCGCTCCTGGTGATTATGCTGCATCTAATTAAATACTTTCCGACTCTTAACAAAACGAGGAAAATTTATTCAGCTGCATTCTGTAATATAAAAAAAAATACAAAATACAACTTTTATGTGGTGTTTTTTTTATTATTTATCTGGAGTGTTTGTGTACTGTGTGTAAATTTCTGTATTTTAAAAAACAAAGTCACTGATTTTCTTTTTTTTTTTTTGCAATTGAACATAATTTTGTACTACTGTGTACAGGTTTTGTTTTTGTTCTTTTGACCTCCAACACAGTCTGATTTGCTGTAAACTCCCTCTGATGTCTGCTCTGTGTCACGTGTTTGAAAAGCTACAAGCTATTTAATAGTTGCTTGATTTGGGGGAGGCGGGGGTGTACATAGCTGCTCGTAGGGGCAGAGGAAGTGTGTTTGGTGGCACAGTCTTTACCTCGTTAAGTGTACATAAACCTTTCTCATTGGCCGTTTGGTGTACATAAGTGATTGTGATTGGCCGTGACGCCAATGAAGCCTCAAGTTTGTGTGTGTGAGAGTCTTTTTAGGACCAGAAAAATAAGATTTAACAGTGACTGGACACACAAAAGTATTAATTTATTTTTATATGTGCAGGGACATTGTGGTTTTTTCCGTTTTTAAGGTTTGCACCATTTTCTCAATTATTATTATTATTATTATTATTTTTTTTTTTTTTTTTTACTTGGGCACTATGATTTAATTTGTCCACACAAATGTGTTTCAATCAGTTTTGTAAAAGTGGGGAAATAATTAAGGTGGATTGAGGAGTGGGGTCTCATATTGTATTTCAAAATGCAAAAATAAACTCTGGATTAAGAAAATCTTTTGTTTTAGTCTTCTGTATGATAGAATTGATGCTAAAAATATAATGGCAATTTTTTAAATTGTAATTTTTTTTTACATTTTCTGAATTATTTTTGATTTTTTTACAGTGTATGTTGATGAGGTTTTATGTTTTCAAATTGAAAACATACATTTAAAAAATTGAGTCCATTTCATAAGTTATTAAACCATTTTCTTTTTTCTATGAGGTGATATTTAAATAAAATTGCAAATAAGTAAATAAATAAAATTTATAATGTTTAATAAATCAAATTTGTGACTTAATCTGAAAGGCTTTATTTAATTCTTTACATAGAAACATGACTCCTCTCTTTGAATTATAGCCTTGCACAAAAATGGTTCTAAAGGCTTGTTTTTTTTAAATCATAATGAATATTTACCTTTAAAAGATGTTTCTGTTCCTAATAAACACACACCCTTGTTAAAACTGATGGGTTCCTGCTGCTGGATGCTGAAGGGGGTCGTCGAGTGACGAGTGGGATCTGATTTTGTCTACAACTGCTGAAAACCAAACCGCGGAAAAACCTCTGCAGTAAAAAAAAAAAAAATCAGCTCTGCTGTGTCTTGCTATCCTGTGTGTATACACCACAGGTTGTAAATATTTATTATATTAGATTTTTGTTTCTGTACTCTTGGGTGTTTTTTTTTACTTCTTTTTTTTTTTTTTTGCACAATTTAAAAAAAATAATTTTCTATTTTTTTTAACTGGCTTCTAATTGTTGCTGAAGTTAAGGACGCGATCCTTAACTCTTTTTTTGTTGTTATGACTTTAAATTCAAAGCAAATTTAAACAGACAAAACAAATTCCTTTGACTATTTGTGATCAGTTATGCTCGGCTCAGCTTGTGAGCAAATTTTTAATTTTATTTATTGCTCGTACACAACCACTAAATTATTTTTCAGACGGTATCATTAGGCGGAGCAGCAACATGGTTTCATTTTGTATTGGAAGAAAAGCGGAACCCAAAAAAACAAGAGTGTCTTTAACAATAAACGGTGTGCTTTCAGTCCTAATAAGTGCACACATACTGAAACAGATGAATTCCAGCTGTTTGGGAGGGTGTGTGTTGGAGGAAAAAAGAAAAAAAAAAGAATAAAAAACGGGAAAACATCTGCTTGTGTGCTGTTGAGGTGGGGCCACCATTCTGCTGCATCTGCCTCTGTCCTGGTAATTAAAAGCCCACTTTCCTCCCTCGTCCTCCCTCCAGCAGCAGTTTTTAGTTTCCAGCCTCCCTCCGCCCCTCTTCCTCTGATACCTTTCTCTTCTCTTTACCCGAGCACTTGCTCAGCCTCCTCCTCTCGCCCCCCATTCTCCCCCGGCCCTGTCAATCAAAGCCGGGCTGTTTAAACAGCGTCACCCCCTCGCAGCCCTCCACCCGCCCGCCTCTCTCCATCAGAGCCGCCCCACAAACACACACAGAGCAGAGCCGCTGTGGCCATCATCGATCAACCCCCCTCTCCACTCCCACATCTTCTGAGACCCCCCTCCCCACCCCACACCCCTCTCTCTCTGCAGGGGAGGGAGGGCTTCACAGCTGATGGTGGACCCCTGTGCGCTGCCCCACCAGGTGCCTGATCAGAAAGTCCAAACCCCAAACGAAGGGTTGTTGTCGGGAGATGATTAAACAAATGTAGGGCCGGTTGTGTGTGGAGGCCCCTGCTGCAGCAAACACGTCTGACTATTGCAGCTGAGGAGGTCAAACTGCCTCTTGACTAACTTAGAAGTCGACAGGATCTTTAGTTTGTTTGTTTGTTTGTTTGTTTTTGCAGAAGGTAAAAGGTTGCTTGTATATATCCATGCATACAGTTAGACAAAAATAAATCTAAACACGTGACTGTATTTCTAGATATGTGTTCTAGTGTTCACGTGTTGGCAAAGTGTATGAGCACACAAAAAAATCAGTAAAATCTGAATAAAAAATAAATAAATGTCATGGTTTTAAAATGATCTTGTAGCGTAGGGATTCTCCTGATTACAATTTGAACTTGAAGAAATTAAAGCCAGCACGAGGCGGTATGTGAAACTCAAAAGACCAATTACCTGGACAGAAACATGCAGATCAATACAATTAGAATATTTCTTTTTGAACTTAGAATTGAGCAGTAACAGGTGGGGGAGGGGCGCTACGCTAAATGCTTCAAACAGTCATTCTGCTGCTTTCTGTGGCAGCTCATTAGCAGGACTTCAAACTGCATGAACTTTAAAACCTCAGTTAAACCTTGACACTGACCAGCCCAGGGGTAGGGGGGCAAATTGGCAAATTGGGTAGGGGAGGAAGGGGCAGTTGTAAGGTTTCGTTTATGAGCGACAACTCTTAAAATATTCCTATTTGTTAGTCTACTAACAAACAGTCACAGTGCTCATGGAGTTTACTTTTCAGCTTGATTGCAAGAAGCAGAAATGATAAATATTACACTAGACATGTAACTATAAAATGTAGAAGTTTTTTTTTTGTTTGTTTGTTTTGTTTTTTGTATAGACAATTAGTCCGTTTGTAAACATGTCTTGTGTAAATCCTGGTGCTTTTGGCTCCATGAGCATCCATAGAGTCTGGCTCTTTATATTCAGAAACTAGTTCCTAAAACAATAATATAAGCTCTATTAAAGATAAAGACAAAAGAGAAATGGCAGGACCAAATATGCTTCTGTAATTTTCTCATCCTGTTCCTCAAGTGCCACCTGTAATTCCTACACAGGTTGGGACATATTTCTTGATTCTGTTAACCTGCTTGAAGACCCCCGGACCTCCATCTGCACTGGAGATGCAGCAACAAGCTAGGGAGAGGCTCCAGTCAGTGCAATAAACCATTAGCAAGAGGCGAGCATGGCGCTGGTGTGTACAGTAATGCCGTGTAAATCATCTCAGAGTGGCTGCCATTAGGAGGCTTAATCCTGGCCAGGAATATGGAGTCAGCTGCCAGGGGCCCCGATCCGGTGCCGAGTGGAACCAGATCCGGCCAGTGGAGGTGTTTAGGGCTGTCAGTGCAATGGGGGAGAAAGGGGAAGGGTGCAGGGGGGAGTGCTGTGGGGGAGAAACAGCTGAGGAGATTCCCAGGACACAAGTCTGTGTGTGTTTGTGTGTGTGTGTGTTTGCTCCCCCCCCCCCAACCCCCCCTCCCCCTCTCCCAGAGGACGCTCTCCTGTGGGATAATGGTGGCAAGGAGAAACAGCAGGACTCGGCCTCATCCCTCTTTATTCTCAGGCTGCTTGTATTTGCCTGTATTTTCCTGCTGCAGTGATTCTCCTCTGTCTCCCGCGGCTCGCAATCACACAGTCACATACAAATAAATACAAATATAAACCACCTGGAGTCATTTTTGAGGAACAAGCACATGGAACAGATTTTAAAAAATTACATATATTCAGCATTTGCATGTCTAAAAGGTTTTGTGAGATATATATATATATATATATTATATATATATATATATATATATATATATATATATATATATATATAATGTCCAAGCACACACTGGAGAGGATGAAAAAAAAATTCAAATACAATGCACATTAAATACATTGATGGGAAAAACTTTAGTTGAGTCATAGGAGTTTGTTGTATACTGAAGATTTGCATGTCTGTAGTCGGTAAAACCGCCCTCATTGCCCTGATGCCCCAAAATGAAATTGCAAAGTGCTCCACGGACACTAAAACATACCAGCAATTACTGCAAGGGAAACATATTTACACTCTAAGGGCCACTAAATTAACTATTCATACTCCTATTTAAATATTAATCTAATATTTGTCCTATTAAGCAACAACAAATAAACACAGAAACAACTCAATAAAGCATATTAAAGTACAGCCTACATATTTAATTGTAGCCTACTTATCACTTATTATGCTTTGACTAACTTCTTTTTTTTAAGACAGCACTGGTTTTGTTTCTTTAAAATATATTTATGAAATAATTTAATGAATTTGCTTACAGTGTTAAAATACGCGTGAAATTCTGGACTTCACCAAATTTGCAGCATTAGAACCAGCTGCAGTTTTATGATAAGAGTTTAGTTCCCTCCTCGTACTTCCGGGTGTGCAGGACCGAGTCCCGCTGACTCAGCGGTGACTGGGCGACTCGGCAGCCGCACGGAGTGAAGCGCGGCACGGCCAGAGAGTCGACCGCGCACCGCCACACGGCGCTTCCACCAGCGGCGAGAAGGAAGGAGCGACGAAAACCACAACAACCAAAAATAAATAGGCTAAGTGAATGGATGAAGGCAGGGAGGACAAACAAAACAGGGCCCAGCCGAGCACAAAGACACAATGAGGGGAGAGTGTGAATGTGTGAGCGGGTGTTTTTCCGCGGTCTGCTTTTCCCCTCCGAAGGGGGAAATGCAGCTCCGCGGCGCGGCGCGGCTCCTCCGCGGAGAGAGAGAGAGCGAGCCGCGGGCTGCAGCCTCTCTGTTCGCCGGGCTGCGTTTTTCCACAGCGCCACGTTTCCTCTAAATCTAATCTAATGGGCTCCATCTCAATTCAAACGTAGCTACATCACGCGTGGGAATAATTTGCGCCGCAATTTTTATCTGGGGTTTTGCGTATTATTTTTTATTATAATTATTATTTTTTTTATTATTATTAGGCTATTATATTTTTTTAATACGACAAAATTAAACATTAATTTTGGTATAAATTACTCGCATGAATTTCTCAAAAATGTAATTAAAAAAATGCATTTGAATAAGTTTATGCGGAAAAAAATACATTTATATTTATATGTTTATCCACGTTTAATTTTACACTCGTGACTTATTGTGATTTATTAATGGTTATTGATAGGAATAAATCAAAACTGTCCCTCTGTTACCAGGGTTTTACTATCTAATTAATACCCACGACGTTCAGATCCTATTTGGTTCTTCATATTTGTTGACCTCCAGCCTGCTGGTTTGCAGACCATCGACCAGAACAGCCAGCTGCAAGGAAACCCACACCACCCAAAACAGAAATCTACTGAATTATGCATAAATTCA